TAGCCTCCACTGTTGTAATTAAAACATCCCACAATCCTCAGGGGGGGCGGGTGCACATAGTGACACCGGGCACTCACACACACACACACACACACACACACACACACACACCCCCCCACCACAATGAACAGAGGCTTGTGAGAGTTCAGAGAGCAAAGCCATACAACTCACCCAACAGAGACAAAGACACCATGAACTAACAGGGTATGAGGATAATAGATGACCCATAATGAATGTACTGTCCCGTCCACATCCTAAGTGGGTTGCATATCACCATCAGCATCAGTCAAACACACACTCAACCTTCTCCTCCCTCTGAGATCTCAACCCTGTCTTTATTTTTTCTTGTTTTTTTTCTTTTAAATACTTTTCTTCCTCTTTTGGCTGAATGTAATTATTTGATTATTGCCACCTTGGATTTGAAAAATGAATCTTTGTTTGCTGCATCTGATATTATTTCGAGTTAATAAACTATTGTTATTGTTCTTATATACAAATCTGGTGTGATGTGATTATTTTTCCATGTTATATATGGACAAGAGTTACAGATAGATGGGAGGAGACGTGTGGAGAGCTAAATTAATCTCATTGGATTCCATGTAGTGTTTTATGGTTATGGCCAGATAATGAACTATTACATTCACCTCTTTCAACACCATTTACTACTGGACATTCACATCATGAAGCCTGCTGCAATTAACTCCCTGACATGACGACATCATCATTATTAAGTTATTACCAGAGCAAAGGACAGCAGTCAAGCCTTACTTACTGATCCTACAGCAGTAGGTATTTCATTTTTCCATGACATCATCACCCCTGGGGAGCTCAGTAATCCATTTGGTGGGTCGAGAGAGGGAGAGAGAAAGGGAAGGGAAATATCAGAGCAGGACGTGATGGAGTTTGAATAAAGGCTGGTGTGTGTGATCATCACGGTTTTGAGTACATGGACCCTGCAGATAGCTCTGGTTTGTTGGAGTGTGTTTAAGGTGCTCCTTGATGAGGTTTAAAATAAAAAGAAACACTTTCTATATGAAACACTAAAGAAATGAATGGTCTGAGAATGAGCAGAATGAGAAAAGTCTAAGTTAGTTCCTGATGTCTTGGTAATGTGGAGTAGATCTAAATTGAAATATAACAGTGTCTGTTGCAACATCACCCTCCCCTTTTGAAGCGTGAAGGAGGCGGTGGCTTTGAAATGTTTTAGGTATTTTGAAATGTAATTTTAGATTTCCATGAAATGTTTTAAGAACATAAGATACATGTTGAGTGTCCTGCATAGGTGAAACTGTAAGTTTTAAAGAAAGCCAGTGTACAAGGTGCGGCTAAACTGAACAATGATGTTCTGTGAAAGCATGCTTATTCACTTTCTTGCCAACAGTTTAATTGATACCAAAAGAGATACATTGTGAGCTTTAGAGGTATTTCTGAGCCAGGCTAGCTGCTTCCACTGCTGCTTCCAGTCTTTATGCTAAGCTAAGCTAATCACCTCTCACACAGACGGAGTGGTATTGACCTTCTCATCCAACTCTCAGCAATAAAATGATTAAATGTATTTCCCAAAATACTAAGCCATTCCTTTAAGGTTACGGGGTGATCATAGTCATGGCTGAAAGAAACTGACATTGACTGCTGGTAGGAGACAGGTTAACTGCGGTCTCAGGTGCTGAAGTCACATGATGCAGTTACAGTTATGTCAGGAACACATAGGTCATTAAGGATTTGACCAAAATCAACCAAAAATTAATCTTAATTATCCATGTTTCTTTATCATTTTAATTGACAGTTTGAACCTAAAGTTGATCTTCTTTGGGGGCAATAAACACCACTAACATTCCAACAGAACCTCACAGCAAGAAGCAAGAGAGGAGCATCATGTCTTTAATCAGACCAATGCACCTGCAGCACATGACCTTGATGTCAGGAACTACCTGAATTATTGTCCACATTGCAGCAAGCGTTGCTGGAATTTCTACCTGCCTTCCTTTTCCATGTACGTTGCTAGTAGGCAATATTGTTTCAGCACCTGCACTTTGACTTTGCAAGACTGTTAAAGAAAGCCACTTAGATTCTCACCCAGTGCCAATGTCAAACATTCCTGGATGCACCTGAGGACTAAGGAGTGTATAGACTAGTGGGCATACACACACAACACACAAACACACAAAAGGGAAAGTCCCCTAGGAATTTCAGATCCTCTGCAAAAAGATCATATTCTTATTGTTCGAAAATGCCAAATTTATGCTTCATTTGTCATCCTGGCTTCAGAATTACATGTAATTTCCAAGAAGGAGGATGTTTGTTGCTCGTGTATATACTCTCGCTCTCATTTGCACCCTGCAGGTCGTCTTTTTTTCTGATCATCTCTTATCACCTAGGTTACCTGGTAGACAGGGCACCAGACTTGCTCTGAGATAAAAGAGGAACAGACACTGCATTTATCATTATATAATGTAATGTAGCTACTGCATCAATTACATTTCTAAACAGGCAGAACAGACCTTGGTTCTTACCTAGAATTAATGATAATAGGCAACTCAAGAAATTAGCGCAAAGTGTAAGATCACTTCAGACAATCTGGTTTCTTTGTGGTACAATTCTCATCTTTTCATAACCGAGGAAACAGGGTGGAACCACATCTGATCACCCCAGTTCAGGCAGCCAAGAAAAGATCGGATCTCTGTCACAGAGAAAAAATCTGTTTTATTGGCTCGGGCCTGGGTGGCTGCCACACAGGCTGTGAACGGGACATGACCAGCAGTATCTGGGTCAAGACTTAAATAAATCCTAATATCTGAAGTTTCATTTCAGTGACTTAAGATGTCTGTGACAGTTTGAATCCAATATATCAATAAGGACACATGAGCTATGGTTCCTATCAGTCCATCTTTACTTTTGAGACATTTGCATAATTATTGTAAGCAAATGTGAACATTGCTAAAACAACACTAGTCTACAGCTACGTTAACGGTTTTGTGAGGTTGCACAGCTGTGCTTTAAGCTATATACAAACAATGTCAACATTCTCAAGACAATGTCAATATGTTGATGTTTAACAGGTATCCAGCAGCTGTATATGGAGATATCAGGAATTTGACAACTACGATATCTCACAAAATGGCCATAATGGCAATAACGTCTTAACAAAATCTAATATCCAGTGTGTAACATTTAAAAGTATCTATTGGCAGAAATGGAATAAAATATTCATAGTTAAGTTTTCATCAGTATATAATCACAAGAAAATAAGAATTGTTGTGTTTTTGTTATCTTAGAATAAGCTGTTTTTGTGAGTTTTGCATTCAAAGTAGTTTCTCCTACACGCTTGGAATGAGAGGGCGGAGGTGAGGGGGTTGTAATCTGCAATTACACCACTAGATGCCCCTAAATCCTGGACCTTTAGCACCAATACAATGGATTCAACACATTTAGACGGAGTTATACGTCTCTTTGTATCTATATCTAATTCAGGCTATTTATGTTACTACAAAGCTTTGGTTGTAACCAGGATATTTTTACTCATGCTCAGATGTTCAGCATGTTAGCAAGGTAACATATAGCTAAAGTACAACTGAGGCTGACGGGAATATCACTAGTTGAGTGGGTATTTTGGTTTAGTGCAAACAGCTACAGCTCCAGAATTTCTACCAGTTGCCACACCCTGACATAGCATTAACTACACATCGGTGTAAGACACTGCAGTCGCTGGTCGTGACCATGGTGCTCACGAAAGATTTAGGAGGATCACAGTTAATTTGACAATGATTAACTGATGCTCGAAAATGCTAAATGCAGTTTCTTTGATGTTCTTTTCCTCTCAGTTGTCTGCTTTCACCTCATTAACATCATTCTCTCTCTTCTGAATACAGCCACAGTGCACCTCATAAAGACACACCATTTATTAGAGGTCAGGAGAGATACTGTGTTCTGGGCTCTGGAGACCACAGTGTGCCACCCAGAGACTAAAACTATCCCCAGTGGAGACACTGGACCTTTGGCAGGAGAGCTGAATGGATGAACTCCTCTACTGCTGACTGTGAGGAGTTGAAGGAGATAGCTGAGTCTCTACATTTTAAAAAGTCATTTATTTTCTATTAGGCTGCACTTTTTTCAGGTCATTTTGTGTGTAATGAAGATTTTTTTTAAATATGTTTTGAAAAGCCTTTCTTAAAATATGCTGTAAAAGATTTATTAATGCATAATATTTTACACAAGGACAGATACAAGTGTTTCACCTGAGAGCACAAATTGGGACTGTCATGTTGATATATGCTGCTTGTATTAACTGGATTGTTCAGCTTTATAGCTCACATATGAAGTGTCCCTGCTATGACTGAGGATACATTATCTTGAAGGGCAAAATGACGTACTGCTGAATGTCATTTTTCACATCCTCGAATGAAAAACACACATACACTATAAAAGTATGAATATGAGTCTTGAATGTCATCGTTGACATGCAGCACTGAGGACAACTCTGTTGTCAATAGGCAAACATCGCTTCAATTTAAGCTTTTAAATAGGGAATGTAAAGGTCAACCAGGGGCTGTATACACTTTGGCTTTTGTCAGACTAAAAACCATTTTGCACATTTTGTGATTTTGGCCTTGAATCTGTTCTCCCAGGAAGCACTCTCCATTTCAGATTTGAACTTTAGAGTGTATCTGTTATTCCATTAGCAGGTAAGCAGAACTTAAATGGCCAATTTTCTCGTGCATTATTGATAGAGTGTTCGCATTGTGTGCTCGGCCAGTCTAACGGACGACCTGACCACTCACCACTCTTCTATTTCTGACCACATGCTGTAAGCATCTCCAAGAGCCCCCCTTCAGCCTTATCTGTGCAGTGTGCACGAATAAGAAGGGGTCTCCACTCCTTATCAGTTTGTCCGTTACATTCTTGGCACCAGTGGTCAGACAAACTGCCATTTATGGCTAAAGGAAGAACACTATAGCGCCCACGCTGTGCTCTACTTACCCACAATGCACCAGGGCTTTATAAAGCCCCACAACAGACCCCTGGACAAAAGTGAGAGGTTAATAGCTTTTCGTAACCCGCATGTTTGACTCTATTTTGTCAGTATTTATTCTGAAGAGGAACACAAATCAAACCTGAGAAAAGGTCTTGTTTTCTGAGGCTGAGGCATATTGAGAGTGGGAGTGTGTTTTTTAAGTGTGTGTGCAAGTGTGAAAGGCTACAACATATCCTCTGCTATGGCATCACTGACATCTTCCAGCCGCAGATCCTCCTCATCCTACCGTTCATCATCGCGTTACAGCACCTCCAGCTCCTATCGGTCGGAGGGCTCACTGGGAGGATCGTCTGACTCTCTGGATCCCCTTTTTGAGCCCTTTCTTGACTCCGCTGATCATTCCAGTCTGTTTGGAGAAGAGGGCCCCGGGGGACCCAGCTGTTTAGCCCCTTTCAGCAGGCACAGCAGATCTTCCTATGGACACACTGGTAAGAGAATTGACTGATCTCTAAGCTCTGTCTCCTTTAGTTACTGTTGCTAAGCCTGTCTCTCTGCAATGAAAATGTTGGTGGATTTACCACTCAAAATGTCTAGTAGTTTGGTCCTTTATTTTGGAACGAGGTAGACAATGAAATCACCTATAGATAGCCATTGCATGCAAGCTAACATTAGCTGCATGAGTTGGTTGGAAACAGTGCCTCCAGCTGACTCATTTTAAAACAAGAATCCTGTATAAAGGTCTTAAATTACATAATATTGTTGATGAAAGACTGACCTTCAAGCTTGTCCTAGGAAAAAAACATCCTTACCATTTGATGACCATTTTTGTCCTAATCGGAAAAACAAACAAAAAGGAAACATTTTAACTACACAGCCTACTCACCCATGGTAGATGCACCAAAATCACCATATCAACAAAATCTAAGCAAGTTAAGAAAAATGCCGCGCCTCTGAAATGCTCCCGGTGGGGTGTGAAGCAGGGGTGGATCTAAAAGGGTGTCAAATTCAACACATTCATTTAGAAATAGACATATAATTTAATGATCTGTTATGGCCACATTTTAGACTAAGTCAATGGTCCCAATACAATTATACAATTATCTGTCTGTATTATGTTATGTTATTATATTTTTTTAAATATTTTTAACAATCATACCTAATAGGCTTCTTTTTTTTTTTTTTTTGACAGATTCCATGTTTCCTTCTTCCTGTTCTGTTAGCTCTTTGGTTGTTAAACTGTTTATTTTTCTAATGCAGGATGAGGCAGTTTATCAGAGTGAAGGCTCTGTGAATGTAGCTTGCATTCAGGTCTTCATAGTTTAGATCTTAAATATAAATCTAAACTTTAAAAATAACAATTTCATTTACTTTCCTTGTAGAATTTAAACAAAATACTGAGACATAAGCCTGCTGTGTACATTTTTTTAAATTATTATTTTATGTGTTTCTGTATGTGAAATTCATGTATTTTTTCTGTAAGTGAAAGGTTGGGAACCACTGGACAAAGTGATAGGCTTAAGTTCAATGAAAAAAATAAATAAATAAGAAATTTCCATTCAACGCTTTACTAATGTGCACTAATAATGTTATGTTTTTAAGTTCAAGTATCTTAATTTTGTGGCTTATTGATTGAATCAATTAAGCCATTAACAGACAGAGTATTGCTCTTTTGCCCTCTGAACAGCACTGATGTGAAGAAATCCAAAGCCTGCCGTGCTCATAGGTTGCTTGGACAATCATTGTTCTGTGGCAGTCAACCAAGCACAAATCACTGATCATGGGCTATTTTTTATTATATTGGGAAAATCCTAGACAAAAAAGGCTGAGCCTTTTTCTAGCATAATCATGCTTAACAGCTCTACTGGAGCAGTTGAAGCTTAAGTGCCTTGCTCATGGGCACCTTGGTAGCATTTGTTGAGGCATAGGGTAGCGCCTCTTTCACTCATTTCCTCCACCAGCAGGAAAGAGGCATTAGTATCTCACATTACAGTAGCGGGTTGATTGAAAGCAAAGTGCCATGGAGAAGAAAAAGACCTGTGGCTCAGAGAAAGTAATGAGCCAGAGTCATAAGAGCTTCTGTGCTCTGTGAGAAAAAGAGTCTATATGGCTCCAGACACCGTCTACTGGGCCACATAAAGTACTAATATCAGAGTGGAAAAATAAAAGAAAAAAGTGCTTATATAAAACACAGGCGCTACTAAAGTCTTAATATGAAGTTTTAAAACAGTTCTGCTGCCGCACACAGCTGTAACCACCACAATAAAAAAAAAGGTTTATTACTGGTGTGATGCTACAGGCAGATTAAAGCATAATCAATATTTCAGGTCTCACATGTCAAATCTAATAAAAAATAAGACCCACAAGTATCTGATGCTCCTCCTGAGTCTATTCTTTAGAGAAAGATTTTCTTTTTCTAGACTGGCAGTAAACCACATTTACAGCCAAAACAGAATCTTCAGTCTCTTGTGGTATTTAATAGTCTTTGTGTTCTAGTCTGAACATAAAATACAAAAATGCCCCAAACAACTGAGCAATAACACTTATATGGAGCCCCAAAGTGCTCAGTAATTATATTAAATAAATAAATAAGACATTGAAATAAATAATTATGTAAACAAATTGTGTAAAATCTGTAAATGAACCAATAATTTGTGAAAGAATTGTGACTATTATTATGAAATGTTATTTCATCATTCTTATTATTATAGTTTTATTGGAGTTGACTTTATTTCATTAAAGAAGATCTGAGTTCATAATGGCATTTTCCCCAATTCCCAGATATTCCATCTCGCCTTTTATTTCATAATGTCCCTTTTCATCTGTCAGCCAATCACACCCCCCTTTGCCTCTCTTAATCAAGAAATCTCAACAACTGCTACCACATGTAGTCAGTGAGCTCAGTGCTGGAGTCACCTTCACAGCATTAAGATGTTCCTCAGAGGAAAACACACAACTAAAAAAGACAGTCCTTCTGTGTGGTGGCTCCACTAGCTAGCGGTTAGGAAGCCTGGGCGGCTGGGGGCATGTGATTGGCCAAAATGTGAAGGGGTGGGAACTGGTGACAACCACACTTCCAGAAAAAGTGACATTATGAAATACACACAAACCTTTGAAGGGGATTTTTAAAAAGAATCCATTAATTATTGATCATTTTTTATGTTTATTTAAACATTCTACACAATTTATTAAAATGACCATTTATTTAATAATATTTATTTTTTATTTATGACATATTGAGCACTTTGTGGCTCCATGTTTCCAATATAAATGTATTCCAAAAATGAAGAATATTATGATAAGTAAAATCATATCCCAGACAATTCATGCCATGTTGTAATTCATTTTATAACATTTGTCATTCATTCAGTTCTATACATTTCTAAACGTTTCCATTGACATTTCATAATATTATATTAATTGCATTCTTATTAATGCATGTTTCTGTATGTGAGTTTCAGTGTTTATCCAACTATCTAAACATCCATCCATCACTGCTCTACGTGTTCTCTCACACCTCTACATGTCATTCTAAACAGACCTCCTGTGTTGTTTCCCTGCAGCTCCTGCAGGCGGTGCTGTGACAGGCCGACAGAGCAGTACAGGTGGTGGGGTGCGATGTCTGGGAGACAGCTACTACATGTCAGCTGATGTCAGCCAGTTTGAGCCGCATGACGTAGTCGTGATGGCCTACAACCACCATGTCGTCATTCACGCCCAGAAGGTGTGTGTGTGTGTGTGAATGAATTAGCAGAGGTGTGTTTTTGTACTTCTGATGTTGTGAGCGGGAAGTAGCAGAGCATATGTGAAAATGATTCAAGTGTGTTTTCACACACACACACACACACACACACACACACACACACACACACACACACAGTTGTCATATAACTAGGAATGAATCAGGTGTAAAAGGGAACCTACTCACGTCTGCTATCTGACTCACACAGTTTTGAGGGCAGTTGGTTGCATTTTGGATCTGATCTGCAGCATTAGAAGCACTCAACATCTTTAAAGGACCAGTATGTAGGATTTAGTGGCGTCTAGTGGTGAAGTTGCAGATTGCAACCAACTGAACCCTTCTCACATCTGTAATTTATGACCTGGGAATGAGATTGAGCTGTGAAGTGTGTAGGAGAAACTGCGCGAAAAATACGCAAGTCCTTATCTACAGCCAGCGTTTGGTTTGTCCCTTCTGGGCTACTGTAGAAACATGGCAAATTTCGAGGAGGAGGAATAATATTCAGACCAGCAAGTAAATCAACCAAATCTGCTTAAAGCTGTTATTATCACACAATTACTGCTGCTGATATTAATAATATAAATACAACAACAACTGCTACATAGTGTACTGTAGGTGTGGATTTGCTGCTTTCCCCTGTTTTATATAATTGTAAATGAATAGATGAATCAAATTATTTCCAAATTGGAGTCATTCAAATATGAGAGTTCACCAGATGATAAAGGGAATCAGCAAAAATATATATTTCTTTATACTGGCTATTTCTATATAGCTGTTATAATGCCTGTCAGTGGAGTTGGATCCGGTCGGATCGCCCCCCCGAAATCAATTAAACAAGTTGGGGCCGCCAGAATCAACACAAAATAAAAGGTCTTTGTTGCTGTTTTAAATACCGTACTTTAGTAAATATACTAACTAGTTACTTTCCAACACTGATGGTGAGGGGTCACAAGTAGACATTACTTAAACCTTAAAAGGCTGTGAAGCACTGAATAATATTGAAAATATCAGCCCTACTGTGCATACAGCAGCAGATAATGAGGCAATATTAGTGTCTTCTCATAAACAAGCAGTGACCGATGGTACTACAATAAATATATAATCAACTACATTTTGTCCTCCATGTCAAACTCAGACATGTTCTGTCAGCTAATCTGCAGACAAGCTGCAGCCTGCCTGCTGCCTGTCCTGCCTTCTCTCTCGCCTCTGTCACAGTTTGATGATAATCATGTTTAAAAGGTGAGAGAGAGGAAGAAGAAGGGAGAGCCTCTGCTGCGGTGCAGGGAGATCTTTTTAACAGGGGTCAGCAGACAAATTGGCAAAAATCCACAAACGTTCAACTCGCATTAAAGGCCTGTAACAGCCAAAAACGTCTTCAGAGAGAACTAGTCAGTGTTCATTTCCTCTCCCTCTCCTCCCAGTCCTGTTTTTCCCTCTCTGTCCACCAGCTGAGCAGCACTGACCTCTTCATCTCTCTCTTTTTCACTCGTTCTCACCCTCATTTCTCACCCTCACGCCTTTCTTAGCCCTTTTGCTCTTCTCACTTTCTCTCCTCATCCTCCAGTGCTCGGTGACCTTTCTTATCATCATCTTTTCTCCCCTCTGTTTAACCCTTTCCAACGTCTTTCCCCTCCTTCTACGATTTATCCCTCAATCCACAGCCCATCTGTTCCTAACATTCTGTCTCTGTCCTGCAGGTACTTGATGATGGAAGCATCAGTGACACATTTACCCATAAGTCCTTGTTCCCGGAGGATATGGACCCCCTGTCAGTCAGTGGGACCCTTAACCCCGATGGTACCCTGGTGGTGAGTGTCCGCCGGACCACAGCGCTGGCTGGACTGGAGCCACTGGGTGTCCCCACCTACCGCAGTGAAGCTCACCTTTGACCTCTGGCTGCATAGTGCTTCTCATGGTATCTCAGCCACCATTGTTTTACTGTTATCATTTTATTATAGTGTTGTTAGTAAGGTCCAGCCAGTAACTGTCATGGTGGACAGATAGGTTTAAGTTCAATTACTGACATTAAAGCCAATAAGTATAGAACGTTTATGTGATTATAGTTTCAAATGGTTTGCAAGGTTTTTTATTAAATTAGACAACCGCAGTGAAACTGGTGCACTCTATATGATGCTTTCAAACCACTTTTTCAATGTGCTTGGATCAGATACATGGGGGTGATGTATTTTTTGATATTACCACTGGGGGGTGCCAAAGTCAGATATTTTCAAATCCTACACCCATGCTGTGTTTCAATCCAATAAACAAATTTTTTTTTTTTTTACAGAACTTTTAATAAATCAGCAAAATAAAATGGAAAAGAATGCTTGTTTCAATCAACTACCATTGTGCGATTATTAGGAGCTGGCTCTTTGAGATAAGCAGTAAGTGGCAGCAATTCGATGATGTAATTAAAGCTAACCTGCCGAACCTCAAAGGGTGAAAAACAATGCAGAAAACAGGATGGAAATATGACATTTCTGTTTGTTTTATGTATTAATGTGAGGAAGGTTACATTAGACCTGTGTAGAGCATCATGGGTGTATTATAGAGCCATGGGAGCGATGAGGAGACCCATAGTAGACTCAGAAACAGCTGATCAGTCATGTGATTTAAATGTTTGCTATGTCAGAACTTCCATCTCTCATCTCATCTTTAAGCACATTAACTATTTTTCCATCAACTTTTCTAATGTGATACTTTGAAATGAGCATAAAATACATTAATGGAAACATGGCAACAGTGGCTTCAATTTTTTGACATGGCATACATTTGAAACCCACTGGAAGTTTGACTCACAAGAAGTAGCCTGAACTCAGTTTAGAGCTTTTTATCTTAACAATGCAATAAATCTACTTTTTCTATGTTCATCTTCTAAATTTGTGTTAAAAAATTTAGCAATTGAGCAAGTTGCCAACTTTATCTGCAGTGTCAAACTCAAGTGTTAAGTTGTATGAATATTTGGTATTTTCTTAAACATGCAATAAATATGTTTTTACAAAAAAAAAAAATGTAGAAGAAGCTTTTGTTAACTGTGATGGTTGTTTGTTTAATGTAACTGTTTCCCGCTCTGTCATTGGTCAGAGCTGAGAGTTAAATCCAGCCAGAGAACAGGGTAGTATTTGTAATCACTCCACACAGCCCAACACTCAGGCTGAATTTGTTTGAAATATGTTCTTCTTGACAAAGTAAGTCAGCTGATTTGAGCTCACAGTGAGTTTCTCTTCAGGAATAAATGGGTGAATATTGTTTGCAACGGCTCTGACTACAACCAAACACTCGTCCCGAGCCACTGATAACAATCAAGATAATTGGACTGACGTGAGGCTTTACAGAGGCAAAATGAAATCTCATGCCTGTCGCCACTCATCTCCTTTACCTGTGTCTGCACACACACAGCTGAATTACTAAACCTGCGGAGGCCCATTTGTTTCGTAACCTCATCCCTCAGCAGCATGTCTAACCTCATCCTAGACACCCATCCTAGGTATGGAGTACAAACCATGGCAACAACCGTTTAACACAGTGAATTAAAGCTGAATTAATAGATCTCTGGAGCACTTGAGGGCAACAGATGAAAAAAGTTCACTTATCATCACCTTATAAAATCATCTAATGAATCCAATATTTACTCTGTTTTAGCTCTGTTTTGGTCTCTACCAGGGAGGGGAAATGTCTCTGGCTCTTTAGCTATGAAAGGCTTCACTATGTTTACCAGCTACTCACTAACATTGTCTGTCTGCTGTTGGGTCCTTAGATTGGTTTATCTGAGGTTTTTCCACTGAAAACAGCAACTGGAAACAATGTTGATGATTGAGATTTTTAAAAGATGGGTGATAATTTAGTTTGTTATGACAAGTGACCCCTTTTTCCATTGTTAATAAACCAGTTTGTAGGATTTAGTGGCATCTAGTGGTGAAATTGCAGATTGCAACCAACTGAATACATACACAGTGTCTCTACCGTGGCCACAAAAACCCATATCTAGAGCCAGTGTTTGGTTTGTCAGTCCTGAGCCACTGTAGATGAATAGAAGTTCAATATAATAGACTCTATAACGGCTCATTCTAAGTCAGAGGTTCCCAACTATTTACCTTAAGGGATTCTGTTTATCATTGCCTAAACATACGACCCCTGACTAAGTGACATGTTTTATGGAGTTTGTGAAAACGTTTTGTGCAGATTATTTCCTGTGAATATTGCATCAGAAATTAGTTTTACTGATATTTTAGCAACTTTTGACACAATTCTCTGTCTATTAGGTATTTTTTATTTTTGTAACAATCATACATTCTTAATAGGCTTCTTCTTTTTTTTTTTTTTTTTTTTACAAATTCAGCTTTGTCTTCTCCCTGCTGTTTGGCCATTGTTCTGTAAGCTATTTGGTTGTTATACCCTTTCTAATCTCTTCTTTTATCAGAGAGTGAAGCCTGTGTTGGATCTTCAAAATGTTTGTCTCAAATAATAATCTAAACTTTAAAAATAAAAATTTCATTTAGTTTCCTGCACGGAAATTAACAAAATGCTGAGATATAGGCCTACTGTGTACATTAAGTTTTCTTACACCGCTTAAAATCAAGAACTCCTTGTGACACCCTAAGGAGCTTTGGCAACCCCTACTGGGGTACTGACCCCCAGGTTAGGAACCACTAATCTAAGGTAACAAAAACATAATTCTTATATTTATACTATACACTAATGAAAACAGATCTATGAATATCAACTTCCATTTCTGTCAATAAATCCTCCTCAATGTAAAGAAGAATGAAGGTCAAACCTACATTAATTGAGTTTGAACCCTAAAACCAAACCATAACTGATGTTTAATGATAGGTCGCCTAATTTATTTTGAATTCTTTACATTATCACACTGTACTAACAATTCAAATGTCAACTCATAAAAACTAACTAAAAACTAACTGTAGACTGACAGACAGCAAAGATCTACTTAGCATACTTCTTTGACATTTTTCTATCCTCCTTAGGAGATTTGGCATTGATGAAGACACCCACACAGACAGAGAACAGAGTGCGGCTGTCTCCAGAGGCCCGTCTGCACCTCTTACCAGCGATTACATCAATCAGTCTCCAAGTGCGACAAGCACTTCCTACACTGTAGCAGTTACTGGGAGGCAGGAAGACTTTTTGGAGTGACACCTTTGTTTAATATTCATCAGAAACGAGGGCGGCGTCAGCACGGACAGATGGCGCTCTGCTCAACAAGGCTCAACAGTGCTCAAGTGCTTCTAACCTCATTCATTGCAATACAGATGAGCGACTGCCGCCCTGTTTTGTTCCAATTCGTTCTTGACTTTTCTGTCTTGCACACACTCAGACAGGCACACAGTCACACACGTTGTGTAACAGGATATCAAGGTGTCACATCGCTACGGCTATTAACTGGCAGTTATATTAGAGTGAATTATAGATTATAAGGGATGTATGAACCACAATAGAAGCTTCAGAAAAGTGCTAAACTATCTCTACAACACACTGTCACGCATAACTCATTCCGTCTCTCTAGAGAAGGTTTCGTGCTCCCACCTGAAACTCACTAAGGGACAGAACTGCAGCCTACTTAACGAATGAACTCATTTAGCTCATTAAGCTTTTACCATTGCACTCTCCACCCATTGCAGTCCAGATGCTCTCCTCTCATTCACACACAGGAAAACAACAGAATGAAGGCGTGTGAGCAGAATGAGGACACACCAGAAGGAGGGGACAGGAAAACACTGACAGAAAAACAAACGCAGTCACAAAATTGAGGCTGTGAAAAAAGTGTTGTGGTTGCAGTTCATTACCGAGCCAACTGTTGCAGTTAACGCTCCCAATGGGAAAGCATTTGAGTTGAGTTAAGAGCTGAATTACTGAAGTGCCGCACTCGACTAACCTCAATATTTTGGGATTTTTCATGTTTACAACACTTTAGCAGCTGTATGAAACATAAAGGTTCACATGCTGGAGGAGCCAAATCGCACCATGAATTATTTTAAGAGAGTAGCATCATTGCTGAGTAGCATTCATGCATTCACATATTCTGCCATGCCTGGTACTGGCCTGCTATCGGAAGCTATTTTGGGTTCAGTATCTTGCGTACAGGTCCAGTGTGTAACACCTAAATCAATTCAATTCAATTTTATTTGTAATTCATAACAGAAGTTATCTTAGGACACTTGTCAAATAGAGCAGGTCTAGACCGAACTCCTTATAACATTATTTACGGAGACCCAACAGTTCCCACCATGAGCAAGCACTTGGTGACAGCGGCAAGGAAAAACGTCCTTTTAAGAGGCAGAAACCTCAGACAGACCCCGGCTTTAGGTGGCTAATAGCACCTGAATTTCTGACCAAGTTGTTGGCGGTCCAGTTGCAATGTAGGTAATGTAGCTTCCAGATTTTGACATGGAAGAAGAATGTGTTTTGTTGTTCATTATCTGCCAGTGAACTAAAGGCAGTCACACATTCTTTCATTATTTTCTTTCTGTTGCAACAACAAATTATGAGCTTTTATTTTTTACTAATTACGATGGCTACAACTGTAATTCGTTGTGGACCTTGAACCTGAAAGTAATACATATCGTATACACACTCCAATAAACTAGATTCTATTTTCTGCTGACAATAAGCTTAATTTGTTTATATCTGAATAAAAGTTGTATTTTTTCCTTTTAAAAAGTATTGAAATGCGTTCTTCAATAGTAAGAAATACAGATAATTAAATTCTTTATTCTCTGATTCAGTGAGCTGGATTGGGGCAGATTGAATTATAGGGTATAAATATGGATATTGCAGTAGTGAGTATTTATGGAGGATCTTTCATTCAATCCAAATGCAGGGTTACAAGCAAATGTTGCATGTTGCCTTTGACTCTGTGCTATAAAAAGATTTGGGACAAAAGGAACTAATCTGAACATTATTGTGGCATTACTACATTTGCTTCCCCACTGGGAGTATCAGCTGAAGACAAAAACAACACTCCAGGTGCTTTCCAGCTGTTACTGAGGGGAAAGAAGAGGACAGACAGGAAAGAATCACAGCTGCAGAATAACATTCCTAGGAGATATAAAACAGAGAGTCATCTTCAACAAGAGCTGTTTGTTAAAATCTCATTTATTCATCCCTGATATACAAAACAATGTTTCATTTTTCTGTGTGAAAAATAGCTCTGGATTTTGTTCAGCTCCGTCTGGTTTGGCCCTCGGGGTAGTGGAGGCCTCCAGTATGTACAATGTACAGTCCCTAAGAGCTCTAAGGAGCGGATAAAAGATAACCCTCAACAGCTGATGTGAGGATCTGGTCTTATCAAAGCGCCTCAGACTGAAGGAGAGGATAGAGAGGAGCTTGATAAAACTGACTCAGCGTCACTGCTTAAGGGGGTGGGGGGCTTGTATGAGAGCGCCAGCTACAGTCCATGCAGCAGGATTCACCACAGAGCCTTTTAAGACCAGATGGGGAAGGTTTCCCAACGCCAGAATGAGGAGTATAAGCTATTCCTCTTCTTAAATATCTTAATGCTGATTCTAGTGAGATTCTGATAGCTTCTATTCAGGCTCTTGGGAAACCTTCCCCCTTAAGCCGCCATTCAAACATCACTTTATCACACACAAGCTCCCGTGTGAGCGTCAGTTCTCCTCATATACATACATCTTTTTACACTTTTCAGGTTTCTTTACAAAAATAAGGTTATCTTGCATTCATGTCATCAATTAAAACTGGGTTACAAAGTGAGATGAACAACTGTTATTGCACAAATTGATTACCTACAAGTAGATCATTCATAAAAAGAATGACAAACAAAACATTTTACAACTTCTACTTTGATTAATACAGACTAATAAATATGCATCTACCTCGGTCTATATCTGTCTGGTAGCAAATGAGATGAAAAATTCTGAAATGTCGGCGGAGGGAAAGGCTCTGGCAGAAGGCAGAATAATGAAAATCGATGAAAAGCACAAACAAATGAACAGAACCAAATCAGACGAGTGGATCTCAGTCTGTCGGGGTGGGGGGTGTCGTTGTGACGACTGCGACAGGTTGCCATGGTGATAATTGCACACCGCGCTGACACATCATCCACCCGCTTACATTTTTGTGTGTGCGTGTGTGTGAAAAGTGCCTCGTCTACATGTGTATGACTAGAAAACCAGATCTGAACACTTAGGTGTCGATTGCTTATTGATAAAGAAGAGGAGCCGATGCAGGCACTTGTGGGATGAACATGTCACCAACAGACAGATTAACTTCCCTCAGCTTCACAATTACATTTCTTTTTTGCTTTCCTATCAGGCAGCCATTGCGAGCCTTCACCCCATGTTAGTGTTATTTGCATTTAAAAATAAATGTCCTAGTAGAAATGTTTCAGGCAGCATGTAGAAATATAAAAAAAACCCACAAAGGACAGCATTAAAATCAAACTGTAAATCATCAAATCTGAAAAAATACAACAAATTTCATTAAACAAGCCACCAAAATCTCTTTCAAAAAGACAAAAGTCAACAATTTAAGATTGGTTAAGACATTAAATTATGATTTTATATTACAGAAGTGATGTTAAATATATTAATCTGTAAGCATAACCCAAAGACCCCATCCCCAGTTCAAAATCAGGCAATGAATAAAGCTCATTGGATGAATGGAAGATGCCAATCAAAGTGAAATAATCTGCCACAAGAAGTATAAAATAAGATACTGTAAAGACACATAACATACAGGCACAGGATGGCAAACAAAGAAAGACACATCATCATTCACTTGTCCCATATTCATTTCCATCAAGCTTTTGTTTTTGGTACATTTTGATCATATAAGACAAATCTCACATGCACTCCATCATGCAAAGCCATGCTTTTTTTTTTTTACTGAGTATTTTACTTTTAGTGGTCACGCAGCAAGACAAGACACCACCAAAAATAAAACCCATGCGATGCATCAAATGCTGGAAACCACAATGAAGTTGGGTATGAGTGCATATTTAAGGCATCTAAACAGTAGAGCTAATTCTGTAGGTAGTAGTGGACATTCATACCTAGTCCCAAAGATATAAATAAAAGACTTAAGAAAAGGAGTGTTACAGGACGCATTTGCCCACATGAGTAAAAAATGGAAGTGGAAAAGATGGAGGGATGGAGGAAAGGGAAAACAAATCAATGTTTCTTCTGTCGATGAGCAGAGTGCGCACTGACAAGCCTCAAGCATTATGGCAGACATGAATTATTAAATACACAGTACGTATACATTATCTGTCGTGTCAGACTACTTGCTGAATCAGAAACCATGCTGTCATTAAAACATTAATGGCTCACGTTCCAGGTTGTATTCCTCTAGTAGCTGGAGCTATAATTTAGTAATGACTTACATTGGTAAACAAGGTACATTTTAAAAGGATCAACTACATATTGTCATTATTTGTCAGTTATGGAATTTTTAGTGTTATTATATCAGCTAATCTCACTGGATCACTCAAGCTACTGGTCTGCATTAATCAAGTTGCTCACATGTTGTCATCTGGTGTTGTATATGGTGACAGTGTGGGCCTCTGCCCTGGACCATTACATCATATGGCTGGTGGTGGTGGTGGTGGTGGTGGGGGGGGACCCTGTGTCTCTGATAGTAATGGAGGTTAGCTAACATGGAAATCAAAGGCAGATTGATGAGAGGGCCCAGAGCAGCTGGTTAGGTAATGATGTCTTCATTCTTTCAGCCATCCATTTGCTCCCCGTTCTTCGCCTCTCCCTCGCTTCCTGCCCCCTCCATCCGCCCCAACCTTCTCTGGAACACTTATTAAGAGCTATATTTAGATAAGCGGAAAACCTTGACTCTCGGAGTGCATCGCCGCCGTCTCGTTCTTGTGTGTTTTCTATGTGTATTTGTAATGTAAGGCCGTAGCTACAGTATGAAAGGAGTGTACATTATGAAAAGGGCTACAGGTGCTTTCACCACTGCCAACAGGCATGTCTGCTTGCATAGACTGTACTCTCAACCTGACCATTAAGACTCTCAGTGAAATGATGAGAAGACCAAGGAAAAGAGGAGTAATGGAAACAAGAAAAAAACAAAACACTAAGGCATCTGTACCCTTAGTCCAGTGCTTGTCGATGGGACAAACAAGAGTCATTTACAAAGAAATGGTGCCATGGCAAATTCCAGTTTAACCCAGACCACCTGATCAGTCAGAAATTAAATTATTCAAGCTGGAAAACAAAGACTGAAATGTGTTCTAATGGCAATAAAAAAGGTCGTATAAGAAATAGTCGTTTGCTACTCACATTTTCTCATTCATACACTCATACTACACGCATACATTATTCTTCCTTGTTATCATTGCTGAATGTATCTACGAAGTGGAAGACGTGTTCCAAAAGATAACATTTGCTGGTCCAAGCTTTGATCCCAACTCTAATGATACACAAGCTAAACAAAGTCTCAAAAAAAAAAAAAAATCCCTTTTTTTAAAAATTTCAACCCATTCCCAGTTGGATTTGACCAACACATGTCTTTTTCTCCCCCCTGGGTGCGGGTTCACAAGGGTAAATGGAGAGCAGGGCACAGGTTGAGTTGTGTTCCACTCCCCTGTGGAGTGTCTGGCTTGGTCAGTGCAAGAACCCTGGGGGAAAGCACTAGTGGGTCCATGAAGCAAAGTGGATGGAGGAGAGAAAGAGGAGTAGATGAGGAGAGAAATGAGTTACAAAGAGGCTGGCGTAGCAGTAGAACTCTTTCCAGAATTAAATATTGATCCTAAGCCCTGAGGATTTTTGCATGTTTGTGGCTTTGGGGGATTAAAGATCTCAATGCCTCCTCCTCCTCCTCTTCCGCTTCCTCCACCTGCTCTTCTTCATCCTCCACCTCCTCTACTTTCCCTCACTGGGATTTCTCATCGGATTCGGAGGGGGTGTGTTCGCGGGGCAGCGACATGCTCTTGTGGCGATCCCACAGCTTGTGGAGCTCGGTGGCTTCGTTCTCACTGCTGCTGGTGCCGCTGTCCCGGAAGCTGGCCAGAGGAGGACGCACCTTCACACCTTTCACTGTCACGGAGCCCTCGATGGCCTTGCGCAGCTGGATGGAGAAAGACAAAGACAGTTAGAGAGGAAGGCACAAAGCGCCAAGGTCTAAGCACTAATGCGAGTAACACCCCAACAAAGTTACGCAAGGTTTTTGTGACGACAACATTTAAGGTCCTAACTTAAATGAAATGATTTTTTTGTGACTTTTGGCCCCTACCATCACCTGACTTTGCCACCATGCCAGCATGCATTGCTTTCTGCTACAGCATCTTTTCTTAATCCTACCACTAGGAGTCATTTTTGGCTTGTATTGCCTTTTAATGTATAGTGACAGCTAAAGAGTGACATGAAAGGGGAAGAGAGAGAGGGGGTGACATTCAGCAAAGGGTCATAGGTTGGAGTCAAGCCCATGGCTGCTGCAGCAAGGACTCCACCAGGCGAGTTACCAGGAGTGTCCAACATTTTAACATCCTGGAGAAAGGAGCTTTAACTGGGACGCTCTGCTGCAGGATGCTTCGTGGATGTATGATTCTATTATCATATTATTACAAAAACCTTATAGAATGCAGGATTTTATACTAGTACAGCAATCTGCCTTATTTGGTCTAGTTTTAAGATACTAGCACGGACCTGGTCCCGCAGTCATCCTACTACTGTTTTAGCCGTATGTGTAAAACAATATTCAACATACCTAACCATTTTAGACCAACACTAAATTGTACATTATGTGCAGCATCAGACAGCAATCAAACTGCAGCTTTAGGGTGCCACTGCCAATTAAACTTCACAATAAGACATCATCATCTCTCTTAAGGTTTAATACTTATCTTTTGTTTTCCTTTTTGGACCCTCCACAAATGGAGTGAAGCCTGCGAGCTAGTTGAGGCAGTCAACTCGAGCTGCGCTGATATACACACATGACATGCCTTATTCCATAATCACTAACCAAGCGCACCCTTCCAACCTGGTAGTCTATTTAAACTGCACAATTTCCCAGCTCTCCCTCTGCTCTGTCAATGCTGCCTGCTGCCCTGCATCCGTACTGCTGCTGCTGCTGCTCTGTAAGCCCCACCACCACCCAGCATCCACCTGTAGGCTCCGACTAGGGGTTTAAGGTATTTGCTCATCCCTCCCCAATATCTATGTAAACATATCTGTGGGGAGTGATGTCCGAGCCTAGACGCCAAAATCTAAATATGCTATACTGCTGTAATAAACATTTCAAACGTGGGTTTTTTTTTTTAAGTTTCCTTTGAGGGAGAATATTGTGCATCACTAATATACAAAAAAACAACAACAGTATGTAGTATGTATACTGTCTAGTTTGATTATAATACATGTATATACTACATACTCAAGATCTCCTACGAATTAGTAGGTAGTATGGGTTTGGGACACATCGCAGATCTTGTTTTAAGAAAAAATAAAGTACGGCTTGATTCAGGGTTTTATTCACAGTGCCTTATTATGCTGTGCTGCATGCAGTGTTGGAATGGGTGGCCCCAGTGGAAATAGAACTGCTAACCCCGACACAGTGCTGGCCTTGCTTTACAGTGCAAGATCGTGTCAGTAGTTTACAAGCTGATGCACAGGCACACAAGCCATTTTCTAGTTTGAACTGGAATCTCTTTTCCAAAATGTAATGGAGGGAAAGCTCATGGTCAGAGGGCAGTGCGCACTGGAAAGTGAGGGCAGAGTGACTGACTTTTGCCACTGTTTGCTGAATTTTGCAGAATAAGAGAAGAAAGGAGAGGTGGAAATGGCTACAAATTTATTAATCTCTGTGGCTCCCCGTGCCACCTACACACGATAGAAATGTGGATCAAAAACATTTTCATAAACCGGAAAATGTATATCTATTTAAAAAATAAGCAAGATATTTTCTCAGATGTACATTTTGGACCTTCAACTAAAACAAATGGTAACACTTCACTTTATGTCTGTTCATTCCAAATAATTTCTTGACCATTTCCTGATAAGAATTATTTGATTTGATACCAATTAAAAGGAAAATAAAGACAGGGATCAGAGACTACCTATGTTAGCTAACTATCTTTACCTAACTCTTTTAACCATTTATCCACTGATAACGGTTTATACATCCATGTTTACCTGCTAAGTACTTTTTACACACTCTCAATCAAAACATGTAGTGTTCATTTAGCAACTGACATTCAAACCTCCTTCTTTTGTCTCCCAAAGGCGAAAAATGCACATGCAGTAGGTGATTTGAGAGGAGATGCCATCCCCCTTGTTAACCTGCCCCCCCCGCCATTGATCCCTAATCTGACTGAGGTTTGTCCAAGTTAGAATCTAAGGCCCCGACCATGGCTCTGAAATGTACTGATAGATCCATGGCGCTGTCCGTGGTGCTGAAGTAGCAGACAGATTTCTAATTGCTCCTTTTTCCATCGTACCTGTCCTTCTGTCAGTTTCGTCATGGATCTATAATATTCTCTAAACTATAAATATTTAATTCTATACTATACTGTCGCCTATATACTCTGTAATGTAATGTCACTTTCATAATGAAAGTGACAAGTAGCAAGGTATAGTCGCAGGAAGAGCCAGAGGATCATAGAAACACAGTGCTGCCTATTATAATATTTCTATGATCATTCAGTCTGTGCTGCTGAAAATACACCCAGACCCATAACCCTAACCTCCCGTCAGCCCATCCTACCTGTTAATGAACAAATCATCAACTTGCGATAAAAATTACTTTGCATTTTTATCTACAGAAAAAGGAAAACATGACCATCTTATATCTTTAACAATCCGGACACACTGAGTTTATATGGTCTCTAAAAATAATGATCTTAATAGTCAAAAAACAAAGCAATATTCAGTTTCCTAAACACTGGAGCTGTGTGAATGTGTGTTGCATTCTCTACACTCTCTTTCATCCATTCTCTCTCTGCTCTCTGTGTGAGAGAGTATTATTACATTTTCTGTTTAGCCAGGCCAAGTTTGTCATTTGGCTGATAAGGTGAAGGATTTGGGTGCTACAGATCCTGTGTCTGCCATGAAAAGAATAGTGTAGGGTGGAAATAATGCACTATAATCACACACACAAACATCCCTGTGATTCCTCTCTTCCATATGGACCAGCGAGGCTGTGATATAACAGCGTGTCTGTGTGACAGACAGGCAGACTGGGAGAGGCTGGGCTTTATCTGCCTTAGCTGGGTTTTTGTCTGCTGGTGGAACGCAGAACAAAAAAGCCTAAATGTCAGGGACAGGCAAGCAGCGCTGCACTTAGCAACAATCCTCTCACCACTTCCTGGCCAATTCACAAAGAGCGAGGGGTTGTCAGTTGTTTGTGAGGCAGGGGAGATAGAAAGAGAGGGAGGGGGGCAGAGAACAGACAGAGAGACAATAGACAGAGACAGCAATATTAAGCAGCCTTTTGTCTGTCACAGTACATAACAGGCAGAGGGAGGAGGAATCATTAATGTTGGCTGAAATGTCTTTGTGCGTATGTGTGTGTGTGTGTGTGTGTGTGTGTACAGAACGGTAACAGCACTCCTGATGATGACAGTGATTTTACAGTTATGAAAGCACTGAATATGCTGCCTGTATAAATGACAGTCATGACTTTTAATGTGAAAAAAATTGACAAAAAATTGATCGTGAGTTTAGAATTAAGAGTTATGAAACCATTAAACACAAAATATGTACAATAAGACTCTTACCTCTTTGAGGGAAACCACCCCGATGAGGCGTCCGATGCTGGTGACGTAGGCGTGGTCGAGGCCCAGCAGGGAGAAGATGGTGTGGGTCTGTAGGAAAACAACAGAGGTGGTTGGAAACAATTAGTGAAACATAGAAACAGTAACAAACCACAGACAATACAGTGCTGGGTTCCTGCTTTAAGTAGAAAATGAGGCTCAGTTAGGGAAATGGCCCACTGACTTCAATTTTCCAACACTGACAACTTCATTCACAACGGGTTCATTCAGCTAGTCAAATGTTCAACTAAATGGGAAACGATCACTTTGGGAAATATCACAGAGACATTCAGTATTCAGAGTATAGATGCTCATTTTAAAATAGAAACTGAATTGCTGAATACCTGCTTACATTGAGAAGAAACAACCAAAGCTCCTTGACTATACAGCTTTACTGCGGCTATGGCTTACTATGCTAACATTAGCTAGATGACCTACTTATTTTATGCTACTTATTTTATGTTGCATTATTAATTTAGCTGTTTAGTTGGTGCTATGCCATTTTTCCGAAACCCCAATAGTCGGAAATATTTTTGGACCAACACGCATTGCTCCGAAGGCCCACTGTTCCCAAAAAGACACTCTGGTATCACCAACTTACATACGTAACAAAACTGACATAACAAAACATACTTATTTGAACCCAAACACCAATCTTTTCCTAAATCTAATAAACAAGTAGTTTTGTTGCCTAAACCTATCATGACAATGAAGATCATCTGACTTTGTTTTCCTGAATGTCCCAGTACAGTCAGATCTTAAGCGCAAATAAAACTCTTGCAGCCATTTGCAGACTTGAGTCTCTAATGGTGATGACCACACATTAACCTGTGACAGCTGTCTCATGAATGGGGTCAAATGCAGGTTGAAGCGCACCAAGTCTCTTGTATAAAAGGGTATAAATGTCAAGACCAATTTCTAATAATAGTATTGAAGTCAATTTAATAATTTACGTCAGTTAAGTTAAAGGCCTTTAACTGGCAAATCCCCAAATGTTTCTCTGTTAAAAAACTTTTTGAGGCCAGCTTATACTGATGGTGTAATGTCCTCCTTACAGAGAAGGACTGCCAATTGTCAGACTGTTTTTATTTTGCCTTCTAAACAACATGACTCATTTCTATGCAGTCCAAATAACAAAAATATCAGTGGTAAAATGTTTTGTGAATACTGACGTTGTCATTATGTGCTCTTACTGTCATACATGTCTTTATTCTCTTTGTTTCAACTTTTATATTGTTGGGTTTGCATGTTTCTATGACCCTGTTTTGCTGTATTTATACTCTTTGCCCTATTAGTACTGTATTTTCTGATGCAATGACTCAATTTCCCCACAGGGATGATTAAAGTTATATTTAATTTTATATCCACTACTACAGTTACCATGGAGGAGTGTGGCTGCGTACAGCTAAAAGCAAAAGAGGTCAAAAACTTCAGTGGCAGATCAGACAGGTTGCAGGACTGATGCCTACTGGACTTTTTGTTCAAGACCTTTTTAGTGTTTAATGGGACTTTCTGCTTAGCCAGAATGGGCACTTGGGAGGTCTGAAATTGATCCCACTGTGCCAAGCAAGCGGAAGCTGTGCCAAGAAAAAGATTGTTAAGTGTTTTTAGGCCAGGGCCAGTCGTAATGTAATCTATCAAAGAGTTTCCCCACAGGAGGATATAGTAGCTTCTCTGGGGACAGAGTCAGCTCACCTCCAATTTAGCCCATTCACATCTATTTAAACAGTAATTCACTGATTAAAGGTGCTGCAAATAGCATTTTAGAATCAGTTGATCATCAGAACAGCATAATGTGAGATGTTAGAGACTCCAAACAAACACAACCTGGAAGCCCGGCTCCCCGCTAATCCTCTTTAATCATTAAAGGAAAATGGGAACTATGGGAAATGTGGTCTTAATTTGAGAAGCACTGCCAGTACCAGATGCTACAAATAATCTCCAATATGGTATGTTTAAGGTAATTATTATATTGTGACAGAAACTGCACCTTTATAGGTTTGATTCTGTGTGTGGTTGTCATAGTGATGTTTAAAGGCATACTATGCAGTTTTCCGGTTTTGTCAAACAGCTACCCCTAGAGTCGCTGCGGAGTACTTGTATTTAACGTTAACTGTCGTAAATACCACTCACCAGAGCCGTCTCTATATATGGCTCTGGGTCTCTGCACTCACGGCCTGATCCCCTCCCCCCTGTATACCGGTACATGTTCAGTAGGATGGAAGCGTCGGATATCGAACAGGCAAAGATAGACTCCGGAGATGTCTACTGACCAGGTAATGTCTGAGTGAATGCCTGCTAGTGTCTTCCATTGAGGCTGCTTCTTATGTCGCTGATGTATGTGACGTCGCGCCGTAAAGCAATTTGTGATTCTCGCGAGATTTGGTGGGACGCCACCTTTCAGACTTGCATTGCTGGTTCTGGCAGCGGCTATTCTGGAGGCTCTTAGTGGACCAACACCACACATTTGGTTTCACTTTATCTTGTCACCCAGCTGAATGTTTTTTTTGTAATTTAGGTGGACCCATCTTTTAACATTTATTTTGTACATAATATATGCGATAGCTTCAAGAGGTCTTTTCTTTGATGAAAATGACGGAAGTGTGCTTTGCTTTGATTCGTCTTCCCCAAATTAACTGACAGTGGCCCTGGGCCAAAACCCAGACCACCATGACTGCAGAAACATATTGTCATGTAAATGCTCAAAAAAACAGATTTGTCCGTTACAAAAAGGGCCTGCAGACAAACACAGAAGCACAACAACAGTAAACAGCATGGGATAAATGGTATGCCAATATATAGAGAGGCTGAGCAAAAGACCAGGGCAAGATGTAGAGAAAATACCTCTCTCTCTCTCTCTCTCTCTCTCTCTCTCTCTCTCTCTCTCACTCTCTCTGTCTGTCACCACACACACACACACACACACACACACACACACACACGCCTGCATACAGCAGCAGCGACAGTGGTGGCGGGTGGTGTTTAATATGCTGAAGGAGATTGTGCGTGGTATTGGCTTTTGGCAGAGTGCAGTGGAGGGAGGGGAGTGAGATGGATTGGTGCAGGATCCCTCTCTTAAATGTTTAAAGAGTATTCACACAGTGCCCAGAGAATATGAGTGAGAGTGAGAGAGAGAGAGAGAGAGAGAGAGAGAGAGAGAGAGAGAGAGAGAGAGAGAGAGCATTATGAATGGAGAACATAAGGTGCCGCCACAGCCACAGACAAGCCAGAAAGAGTCACTATGCGTTTGTGTGTGTATGCTTGGTAGGAAATACGGTGTGTGTGTGTGTGTGTGTGTGTGTGTGTGTGTGTGTGTGTGTGTGTGTTGGAGACAGAGCCTCTTTCAGGGTGTGCTGCAGTAAGAAAACTAAATCAACACGAGCACTGAAGAGCTGAAGCTCCTTTCTTCACACTGCACTTTCACTTTCTCCTTCACTCAGTAGGGGAAGATTTGGCTTGAGTGCGTGTATGCGTTCTTTTGGGTTGTTTGCATGCTCCTTCAATGTCACTACACACCACAGGAGCACCAGGCGTATCCGGAGGATTGGAACTGGTAGCAGTTCACTTTCCAAGTTTGTGTTGAGGTAGTCAAGATGGCCTCACACCAACACTGATATGACATAAAGTCTTTAGTGTAAGAAAACTTTTCCATTGGGAGGGGAAATATCTTCTGATATGGAAAGGGGAGCCTGTTATTAATGAAGTTCTCAGTCATAGTATCTTTGGTTGAACTTTTACCACCCAATAGCTAGCACTATTGAATGTTCCTGGATTTTTAGTTATATGAATATGTAACATATGCATTGATGCATTAGACTTATTTTTAAAAACAACGTTCTAACATTAAAATAATCTGGGTACAGTGCATGACAGTTTACACCTGAAACCTGAAAATATTGTGTCTTCCTACTTTCAAAGCAGTCTGGCAGTCCAACAGCGTGATCAATTCTTGAAAACTGTATGTCCAAAGTAAATGAAAAGGTCTAAAAAATGTGTGTCAATAAGCTGTTTGACCTCTGTATAAACTTAAAATAACTTAATTGTTCACTTTCAGTAAAGTAACTGTGATCACATAAATCCTCTTTGAAGTATAGGTGTCTACTTTATGTCGTTCAGGAATTACACATCTGAGTAGAAAATGACACGGAGTTCCCCAAGGCTCCATTCTCTGTTCTTTTTTCCAATAAAATCACAGAATAAGTGTTTGTACAATCAGGATTTAGAAATGCGTTTTCATCTTTAGAAGGCCTGACTGGTATAACGATGCTGTCTCTAAAAAGTTGATCAGGGAGCTGCACTGAGTGTACATTTCTCCAAGGAATACAAGAAAGTGGAACACATCACTCCAGTTCTCTCTCTGTGAATCAAATAGCAATAACCAACAAACTTCCAGAAAACTAAAGGTCTGGCTGCAACTATAAGTTCTTTTGGATCTTAAAACTTTTCTGTTTACTGCTGCCTTTTAGTTATTTAAATTTTGGAGTACTCATTCATATCTAGCATGAGTATATCATAGCAGAGGACTAATATTTTCACTCTTCTTATAAGTGCAGTTGCACTTCCCATAATCGAAAGCCATTGTTGTGCACTAGGAATCACTAAAAATTCACAGGTATTTGTCTTTTTTTTTATCAGTTTAGATAAACTGAAAAACAGTCCTAAAGTGACACACCTAGTAGCAAGGATACACATTTGTGCTCCAGTATAAGAGACACACAATCAGACCTTATGCAGCGACGTGCGCTCCACCAGCTGGAACGGGGCGGGGTCGATCTTGCAGTTGTTGAAGTTGACCTGCTCATCAAGCTGCATCTCCTCCCACTCTGCAATCTGTAAAACACACAGAGGAGGAGAGAGTTGGGGATGAGAGATAAACATCACTGAGGAACTGCTAACAAGAGGCGGTACAAAAGTGCCTTTGTAGAAAGTGTAATATTAATTAATAAAGAGGTAATCAAACAAACTGGATCACATCCAGCTACACCGGAAGGGACACTGACTTGACTTTAATCTTCAATACTTTCAGCGTTCTAGCCTGTCTTTGTTGGTCAAACATTTATTTTTTGGAATGTCTGACTATAAAACTTGGAGTGACAGCGTGTGTAATAGATGCTGTTAACAGACGATGTCTTTATGTCTGGTGTCAGTCACTAATCAGAAGGAAAAGGCATCAAATCATCCCATAGCACCTCCTGAAAAATCACCACCCTCTGATAGACAATCAATGGACCGGGTGCCGCACTGAATGACTCTATAAATCATACGAGACCTACAACGATGGACAAGGAAGGTGAATGGCGAACAAGGAAGGGAGAAGCGATGACATGGCAGACGTATGAGAGGTGAACGATGAGTGATTCAGAGAGAAAAAAAAGAGCGCACAGAGGAAGAAAGTGTGAGGAATGTGTGGCTGACAGAGAGGAAATGAGAGGTGCTGTTGATGGATGAATTATGAATGATGTCATATCCAAAAATATAAGACTCCAGGGTAATCGGCCCGTCTGGGGATATTGAGGAATCTAAAAAGCCAGGTCTGTCATGGTGTGATGTCATAAAGTTAGACAAATATAGGTTTTTGAACACATACTGCATACCAAGACTCTCATCTGTGTGATAGCTGATATAAAGGATAAGGCGGGTCATATTCTATTGTTTCTGATTGTCAAACAAAACCAACAAGGAATTGGACCTTGTTGCTCTGATCAGAGGGTACTTGGCTAAAAATATATTTCAAAATGAATGAAAAAAGTTGGAGAACGACTTATCCATGTTACTGTACTGGTATATGACAGTATCACCACTTGTAGCAGTTCAGATGAACATTAAGCTGCTCTATAACTGTAACTGTTTTCTGATTGGCTTACGGACTAACACCCTTGTCTCTGATAGCTTGTGATCCTTCGCTGTCCTCTCATTGGTTGTGAGGTGTGTGTGTGTGTGTGTGTGTGTGTGTGTGTGTGTGTGTGTATCTGTTGTTTGAAAATCTGTCTTACCTCTCTAATAGTCATGTCATCCTCCACATCTCCGTCATCCTGCAGACAAGAAGCGACAGGAGAGCAGTCAGTATACAACACAAAGATATTCTGTGTGCACACTAAACACAGTGAAATGAAGAAACCAATATGATATATACAACACAAACACACAATCAGTGATGGAGGAGCAAGCAAATGGTGGATAAACAATGGAGTCCAGTTGGTTATTATCTCAATAAACATTTGTTTGTACTTTTCAACTACGCCCCCAGCACTACATCTGTGCACAGAAGGTAAAATGACATATTGAAAACACATAATCACCCATGCCGCACATCATAAGTGTTACACAGTGCAGCCGTCTTGAGACAGATGGACAGAAATGGAATGAGTGACTAAAGGAGCGACTACAGTACATTTAATGAGTGCGGGGGATGTGATGTATGAGATGTCAGAGCAGATGATCATTATAATGATGGATCTGCGGCTCGCTCAGTGCTCACGGCTCATAACTGACAGGCCGACGTGAGCGATACTGTTTGACAAGCTGGAGTCAAACTAGCAACCCTGAGCTTTGCAGGGAAACACTGAGAATACTGGGTGATGGAAATACACAACTGTGTGTGTGAGAACGTTCCCGCAGGGTGTGTATGCAGCCCTGTGTGTGTGTGTGTGTGTGATGGACTGTGAAATACGATTTGAAAGTGTTTAGTCGTGTGCTTCTGTACAGGTATTTACTTTCTCAGGACTGAATGCAGGAGAACATATGTGTGTGTGGGTGTGTGTGTGTTAGAGAGAGACAGAAAAGTAGAGTGAGTGTGACCCAGGGGCTGATGGGAGCCCTGAGCTCATTTATCCTCATTGCTGCGGTGGCCGACCTGTCGGTAACCCTAGCAACTGTTGCCGCGGGGTAGAAAGAGGTGCCCTACTGTAGCACTATGCAAGCAGAGGCCAGACGTGCCTAGAGTTGATGAGACAAAACAAACACACACACCTACAGCACTTTATCTCTGCTGTCTCACTGATCATTCTGCTTGTCACAAGGGCACACTGAATGTCGCCGAGACACACTGTTGTTCCAGGGGTAAAATGTAAACTAAAGAAAGGAGGAGATCAAATCACTTTGGTGTGTGTGTGTGTGTTTGCAGAGGAAGGTGGTTTTTGAGACACACAGAGAGAGGTTAGGCTGTGCATGTAAAATAGGTGCTTTCAGAGAGATTAGCTGCTCTATTAAGAGAGCAAATCTCTGCTCCTGGATACATGAGTTAGGCAGAAGTGTGCCTGTGTGTGTGTGTGTGTGTGTGTGTGTGTGTGTGCGTGAATGGGAAGTGGTAGAGTAAACTTTGTCAGTCCACATGCAACTGACAGTGAAATCAGAGGAACTGTGTGGGCATATTCAAAGGAGATTTGAATGAGCATGTGAATTTATGTGTGTGTGTGTGTGTGCAGAGGCATGTGAGAAGCAGAGAGTCTCCAGAGTGCTGACAATAGGCCGATGAAGCTGTATTGCTTGCTACGCTGTTTCTGTGACCAGACAAAGATTAGAAAGGTCCGCCGCTCTTCCTTTCTCCCTCCCTCCTTCCCCCGGCAGAGATCCATCTTTGCTTCCATCCAGTGACCCGATCACCCAATCAGTGGCAACCATCCAAGAAAAGGTCAGAAGCGAACACACACACACACACACACACACACACAAACACACACACACACACACACACACACACACACACACACACACACACACACACACACACACACACACACACACACTGTAGGATTATGTAGTCAGCTAAATTATATAATGAAGAGAGTTCTATGAGTTTTTCTTTATTCAGCCTACAGTAGATAGAACGGGTCGTGGCAAAGCTTTATTTTATTTACTTCCAATTTTTACTGAAGGGAAGGCTTACCATCATCGTCTTCTAATCTAAATCCAAACTCTGCCGCTGGTTCAAAGGGTTGGTTCATCCAAATCACACAAAAAACAAAACATTTTGTTAATGACCCCTAGTGCTAGCCAACAGCCATGCAGAGAGTTTGGATTTTATGTAGGAAATTCTACCCTACCACCCTAAAAAATGTTAGTCAAGTTTAAACGCAAACACACACACCTACACACAGCATACTGGTAGGATTTCTTTTTGCAAGTGCGAGTGCTGATGACAGCAGGACTGGTACATCAACAACAAATATAGATCACTGAACCTTGAGAGGCTTGTATCAATATTCTTTTAAAAGTCCTATGTGCAACTATGTGTTTCGGACCAGGTTCCGTGATCTTTCAGTGGCTGCAAAAAATAAGCCTGATAATATTGAGTCTTATGGAGTAAGGGCTCTACTTACCACTTAATTTGTTACCTCAGTAACCAGGTTACTAATGAGTTTATGGTCTCAATCGTTAGTTTCAAGCCTTTTTCCATGTAGCAAATACTGTGTTGTCTATTTCTTGCCTAAAATCTTTTCCGAAATATTGTTGAGTACTGATTATTTGTAATACGAAAAAATTGTGTGATTGTTTCGTGCTACAGATGAGTCAAAATTACCTTGTACTACGCCACTGCCGCTGGATGCAAAAACCAACATGGCGACGGCCATAATGCCAAATTTGAGGCTTCAAAATGGTACTCCACAAGGCAATGGGTGATACAAACAGATAAGCATGTGAATTCATCACGTGATGCACATGTTATACGCATTTGTATATTTCGTATGTGTAAAAACCTACCTGGCAATAAATCTGATTCTGATTCTGATTCTTGTAAAATGTAAAAACCGATGATCTCAAACACAAACATAATAATTATATAATAATAATTAGTGACAAACTATTATTGATGAGACTCTTATTGAATGCAGCCTGTCTAGATGTGGGTGGAGTCCCTGAAGATGACATCAGCATCATTAGCATTTTGCCCAACATACTGATGTGTTTTGTTTCTCCAACTGCTGCCTGTACCACACAGTGAATGGTGCAATAGGGAAACACTGCAACAATAATTATTTATCACTAATGTGCGGGCAATTAACTGCTGATTTCCTTGCTGCTGATGCTCTCTTTGCTCGTCGCTTTCAAATGTTATTATTGCCTTATCCGTGTATCTGATTAGATTCAGAGACTTTAACACAATTGTCAAATAACATCATTAATGACTTTGTCCAAACTACAGTGGTGTCAGTGCTGTGATGCAGTCGCAACAGCTTTAGGAAAAGTTGTGAAATGGTGGGTAGTTAATCTTAACGATCCATCGCGCTGTGGTAGTGACCACCCTTAATCTCTGATAAAAACAAACCCAAGATTACTGGCTTCACCTTAGGAACATGAGTTTATCTGAGTGAAAACCACCAAAAGCCCAAACTTCTTTTTAATATTGTATGTCCTTCCACTGAAGCTGCAACAAATTATTCACCCTGAAAGTATCTGATATTGAGCAACAAATCAATTCACCAACAAAACAAATTACAGTCAGTATGTCACACTCATCTTCTCTAGATAAATTCACCCTCTCTCCTGTGTATCTCTATCTCTCTGTTGTCTGAAATTATTCAGGAAATGAAAACTTCATCCTGTCCCCTGAATATTCTTCCTATCAGATACCTGAAGGACAGTTTTAATGGAGTCAGTGTCTTTGTTTTACAACTTATAACTTGCTTTCATTGAACCTATTCTGAAAGTGCTAACACTTTACCCTAATGATTTTAATAATGAACGGCCTATGTTAAAATTTCCCTTTCTTACTATATGGTTCTTGAAATTGGAATCTCTTCCACATCAACACTGAGAACCTGAATCGATCGATCTATCCCATCTAGAAAACCAGTCTGGTTAGTCCGTTCTGGGCTACTGAACTGTGGTTCAAAATGGCGGCCTCTGTGGAACGCAACCTGAGGTGTCTAATTCTCTTTCAGGTGATTATACACTAATGAAAACATAGTTGCAAACTATATTCCATTTCTGCCAAAAAATTCTCATGAATGTTACACACTGGGCCTTTAATGAATCTGGGTCCACCATTACAATTTGAGGAAGCTCTTAGTTGGTAAAAACTTGTAAAGACTGATGTGTAAATTAGTTGCTAGGAAACAATCGACTATGTAAGCTGACACTCACAGCAGCACCACAAGCTGTAATGTAATTTTCAAAAATAAGTTTTAGGAGCTAAGCGATATTTAAAAAAGAAAATTCTGATTATGCTAACCTAATTTGGCATTTGGCAAAAATGATTGACATTACGTTCTGTAATTTGACTTACATCATTATTAAACAGAATTTAGATCAATTGTCACGTATCTATTGCCTTTGAACTAGTTAGTAGAATTGAATATTGAGCAACAACTAATCGTAGCAACTAGTTTGTGTGGTGAAATCTGATTTAATTAAGTGACGTGTTGATCTCCACTTAGTAAACACTATCCTACAACTAGGTTAAGTTCTATTCCATTTTTATGCTGATGACACTATGACATATTTGATCCGCATTCCAAACAATGGAAAGAAAGACACTGCACTTACCTCTAAACTGCAAATTAGCCATTTATAACAGAATATCCCTAACTTTTGTGCAGCTGGATGCCAGCAACACTGAAATGTGTGTAATTGGCCTCGACAGTTGGAGGCTCCAGATGTCACAACAACTTAGCTCATTATCTCCCTGCATCACCAGTGATTGTGAAATTCTGCAGTTTATTTTTCATAATTATTGCTTCTTTTACATCCATCTGTACATCCTTTACAAAACGCAGCCATTTGAAGCTGTAAATGGCTGGAAGATCTGCTGTTCTGACACTTATTTATCATTTTCTTTGATAACTGTCAAAAGTGGACAACTGACAATATGCATATTTACTCAACAACAACAACAACAAAAAAAAAAGATTTCCAACAGTTTCTTCACTTGTGGTTGTTTTTTTCTATCTCTCTCTCTCTCTCTCTCTCCACAGTAGGTAATACTGACGCAGTGGAGTGTGAAGAGCAAAACAGCCACTCAGAATCAAATTTAGGTAGGGAAGCTGAGAAAGAGGGCTCATTACACACATGCAACATTGTTAAGGCAACTAGCAAGGAGGACACTATTCCTCTACCACGCTTTAATGCAACTTGTCCTTTCTCTCTTGCATCATGTGTGTGTTTGCGCGTTGTATTGCCATGTAAGTAAGAAAGAAAGAATGACGCATATTCCCAAATGATCTAAAGAAACAAAAGAAAAGAAAAAACCTCAAAGAAATAAAGAGGGAGAGCCGAGGTGCCAAAAAACTGAGCCCACGAGCCATCATAAATAAAGCATGGAGGCATTACGAAGACGCAAGAGTGGGGGGAAAATAATGAGAAAAACAGCCAGGAGAGACTGGGAGGCTGGGCGGCATCATTTCTCTGAAACAGACTACTGCTGTCATTTACCCCCCATCAATATTTCACAGCACTAGATGGACGGAGAGGAAGGGATTGGAGAGGGGAGGTGGACAGATGACAGAGATACAAAAAGGGGAGGAGGGCTTTGGAAAAGTCGTGAAGATGGACAAAGCGCATGAAGCAGAGATTAAACCAGATACAGGAACAAAGAACTGCGAGAGTGGAGCTGAAAGAAAGGGAGGGCAGAAGTAATAACTTGATTTCTCTTCCACCGCGGGGGTGTAACTCAGAAGTCTTAGGAGAAAAAAATTGATTGTCCATATCCCTGCTTGGGCCCACATGGGCCTCAGCGGATTCATAGCAACGCTGTTATCAGCCTCGCACTCTGCCACGTGCACTTATACACTGTTGAACGTTAATAATAACTCCTGATGACAGGGGAAACAAGCCCGCGGGCTTAGTGTACTGTAAATGCACACACACAAGTGCTACAGGGGTTCATTACTAATTAGCTCACTGCAAGGCAATCATGACTAACATGCTTCTAGGCCCACTTAACACATCCAAAAATTCACTGCACTAATAATGTACCATCTGTCTCAGCACTGACCATACAATATGCTCCTCATGGGTGCACTTAACAAATCACTGTACTTTATTAAATTACGACCAGCAGTGGCAGATAAGGGCCATTGGAAACTTGACTGGTGACCACCAGTGAATGCTAAAAATATAACGGTAGGGCATAGACACAAAATTAATAGGGGTATATTTCATAGCCTTAAACAAAAGTGTCCCCTGAGGTTAGTTAGTAATGCCTTAATTAGGACTGTGCCATATTTTGTCTGTTACAGAAACACAAGAAAATAAAAGGTTTCTATTGAGGCTTATCTTGATTGACTGTTTACTCAGGGATAAAAAGTACCAGTACAAGTACCGTTGTGGGATTAATAAAGTAATACAATACAATACAATATATGCAGGGGATACAAGTGCTGAAATTAAACCTAGGGTTAGAAAACTTGTTATAACAGCTTTCATGTCAACTACTTTACGAGATAGATTTGTTCAGAACATGCTTAATTTAAAAAAATAAAAATGTGAGTAGATGATTAATGAACCAGTGTGTGACTGTGACCAGTTTCATGCAGTTATCTACATCTCCAATATGGTATATGGGTATTTCAAAGTGTTACTATGTGTAGTATCAAATAAATATGAAAGTGAAACAAAGCCAGTTACTACTACTGTATTTACCTTGAAAATAATTTCAGTTAAAGTATATGCAACATTTCTACAGCTTATATACATATACAAAGAAAGGAAAGTTGCAGAAAACAAAAAACAAGAAATCCCTGTTAAAATTAAATTATGAGATGATGGTCAATATCAGATAAACTCTGATTGTTGAAATATGTTTGCTAATTTGTGGCGCAGTTCCTACTAACAGATAATAGTGGATTTAAGAACTGAGGGATCAAATAATCTCTACAATTGTTACAAATACATGATGTCCACTCCCCATGTAATATCAGTCCTTTGCCAATAGGGCTTTATTTTGCTAGGGGTGTCAAGAAACCCCCCAAAGGACTCTTGGGTGTCCCAGAACCCCCACTGTACTGTACCTACTGACTAATAGGGCTTAATAAAACATGCCCTTTCTCAGGAATAATGCGGCATGCAGTGGTGAATCAATAATGCTTTAAACATGCTTTATCCCATTAGAATCCCATTCAAATGGAAACTGGAGTGTAACAGTTATGGCTTTTGAAAGTTTTTTAAAATTCTGACCTTTAATGTAAGAATCAATGAGATTTTTAACTGAGTGCAAACATGCTGTGTTCTTGCACAGACATTGACTCAAAAACAGACGGACCATGTAATGAGCAGCACTCCCGCTGTAAATGTGTGAAAGTAGCACATTTTGTTTTGATTAATCTTTTTCATTACTACAGTTGAAGAAATGTGTTTCGTCATTCACCTCAAAGTAAAGTTCCTCCGGTTTAATACAGTCGCCGTGGTCTTTTGCTGCCACACAACTCAGCCCGAGCACTGTGTTGTCATGGTGTGAAATACACGCCTGAGGGTTCACATTTTACGCCACCAAATGAAAGAAACACTCCCAGCGCGCCTCCTCTGTTACTAATTTTGTACTTTTCATTGAGTTCCTCAAGGCGAGTCTGACTTCTGCTGTGTAATTGTGCAGCATGGATTGTGTTAAGGAAGCAAAGTGCTGAATTCTGGGGCAGTTTTTTGTGGTATTTCACGAGCAAGACTGGTCATTGCAGAAAGTAACAGAAAAACGATGCTGCATATGGTGCTGGGGTTGATAGACCTTTCAAATCCACTGAACGGATTTGATGGGAGCAGTGGGTGACTTGAGAACACAATCTTGTCAGTGTTTTTCCTGACTTATCAACAAAATTAAGACTTCATACTGCAATTTATCAGCTGGATACCATGAGTTTACACATACGCCTTGGAGCGATAGATGAAGAATGATCTAGCACCACTCAGTGCTTTGAATGATTGAAAATGTGACAGACTTCAATAATTGTCACTGACAAGTAAAACTAATGGAGCTCCTTAAGTTCCTCAATAATAAATTAAATTATTAATGGTGCTAATAGAGTTACACTGACAAACTAATGACTGATCAGGAGGAGGAATAGTGTGTTCTTGTATTATATTATAGGATATTATATAAATATATAAGTGATGTTGGGGACGAATAAATATTTTCATTAAGGTCTGTGGTTAACATTCAGTCCTAGCAACTAAGCCTTGATAGATAAATCAATGAAGGTCGCCCATCACACTGGGTAGTAGCTTTTTGAGATCACTATCTAAGAATTACCTGGCTTTTAGACTTTTTCGAAAATGTCTCCCTGAAAACCACTATGAAGTTCGCCAATCAATTGAATGCAATCTGTATAAAAAGACACATAATGTGCTGTCTGTTAAATGGACTGCACTTTCTAGTCTTAGTCAATCCCTCAGAGTGTTTTACACTACATGTCACATTCATCCATTCACACACCCTCACACACCGTTGACACAGCATCGGGAGCAGGTTGGGGCTCAGTATCTTGCTACAGGACACTTGGACAAGGACAGGCAGCGGTAAGAGTTGGGAATCGAACCTTCTGATTATTGGACTCTACCTCCGGAGCCACAGTCAGCGCTAAATAATGTGCATTCAGATTGAACGCTGAGAAAATGTAGATGCCGTGCGCCCACATCATAGAGTCTTTGAAAAAAAGTGGGCAGTGTTGGGGAAGCTACTGTATTTTAAATGTATAGCTAGTGAAACTACAAGCTAGTAATCAATGGAAGGAGCTAAGCTACAACAACACCACACTGTAGTAAGCTCCACTAAAAACAATAGAAAACACAATGAAAGCTATGTCACATGAACAAGGAACATCTACTGTTGCATAAGTTAATCAACAAAGCATCATTATTAACAAATTAATAAAACAAGTGAATTATTTGTCAGAGAACCCTGCTTCTTAGTGGAATAAATAGCTTGATAGCATGGTTTTGAAAGTATCTAAACTACCTGACTGCTACTGGGAAATACAGTTGAGCTATCACTACTCCCCACTGCTGGACATGAGTGGGCACAAACAGACACCAATTGGCCGTAGGCCGTATGAACAAAGGCAAAAACGCATCATCAAAAGCTGAAAATGTTTCATGTTTCAAAAAAATTCGGGCTTATCCTAAAGAGGAGGTAAAAAGCAAAATGAGAGAGACTGGTGGAAAGTAACAGAAACAACTTCCTGTTAAGTTAAGTTTGAACCATTACGTGAACTCACAGAGCCAAATTCAACACACCCGGTCTGTGCATACGTAGGTAGCTATGTCTAATGTCTAATGCAGTTGGTGCATTAGTTGTTTGGGGTGAATAAACACAGAAGGCAAAAAGATCCTGGTAATTAAATATGGTAACAATGCAAGGCTAAAATGGTAGTTAGAAAACATATGTAATGTGTGGATGGGTAAGTGGCACTGAATCAGTAGAAAATGTGTGGTGACATTGAACAGCTAGGACTTTAAGATCCACTGTGTGCGTTAGTAAGCAACTTTTACATTGTCCCTGCATCTTAATACTGGACTGAAATAGTTATGTGAAATGTTGAGAAGAAATGTGAATAACATGCTCACCCCAGAGAAACTCTTAAAGCTGGGTGGTGGCTCCTAGTGAATGGAATGACATTATATGTGATGAGTGAAAAACAAACTCATGATGATTTGTGAACTTAATTTAAAGAAATAAGGAGAGCTAGATTATAAATAAATCACTGATGATAATAAATGGACAAAGATCAAATGTGTGAATGTATTTTGTCTGAGTGCGTGATTATGTAATGCTTAACTGTGTTTGATTTTCAGAAGTTGTGGTCTGATAATTTGTCATGCAACGCTGGACGTTCTTGTATCGTGGAATCATTTTTCTCAATTCATTATCAGACACTTGTTTCATTGATTGACATGCATCGCTGCTGGAGCGTATGTGGTCGCTGGTAATTGGACAGCAGGCTACATCCCAGTTTGGGGTGATATTTTCCAATACCTACCAGGCCTTCTCATGCATCATCATTTCATCCGAGCTGCTGCTAGAAAGTTGTCATTCAAATACCTGCCTGTTCCTAATGAAGAGATATGATGCTCCTATGCGGATATTTAACGCTGCATGCACTCGCCCCAACGCGATTTTACCCCCCCTTATCACATTAAACACATTGAATACCACAGTTTCCTTAATCAATTACGACAAATGCGATGGGATTTTGGGTCACTCCAGGCACAAGGTAAAGCCTTCCCTGTGAGGCAGTCACTGATTGGACACCTCGGGTGACACAGTTGATGATGGACAGCACAGCATGCTCGGTTAAACAGCCTCGTCCTTGTAGACCACTTGACCACAACTCAACCACGTCTTGATTTTAAAATGACAGTAATTTGGCCATAATTTTACAGGCCATGCTCAGGTCTGAGAGAAGCTACATTTAATAAGACTCTCTGATGTACTTTGGTGTGTAAGAACAGATAAACTGAGTGTACAATGACTCGTAAATAACAGTTAAAAAAAGTTTAAAAATATTAAAGGGCTGTACTAAATAAAGGACACTGACATGCAAAGTTTTCATTGAAAACAGTGGAAAAAATGTTAATTAAATCAATAACCAAACAAGACATTATGAAATATATAACCATATGAATAAATACAATATATAATGAAATCCTGAAATTGTGAAATAATCAAATACGGTTTAAAGGTTCATTTTCACAGTTACAGTTTACTGAAGGCTGATTTCAAAATGTCTTTTTTTTTAAGTCTGTTCTTATTTCACAACAGCACTTTATTTCATGAGTTTAACATGAAATATAATGGACATTGGGAAAGGTGATGCTGTGAAATTATAACAGAAAGAAAACATTGTGAAATAAAAACATTTGAGCATATTTTGTGATTTTTATAAAATATAAATATATATTATATAAAAGTGGCCTTCATTAAATTATTTTTTATCCTTTATATCATAATGAAAATGAATAGGATGATATAACATTGAGTAAAAATTAGCTTAGTTTTAAAAAAAATTTAAAATATTTTTCACAATTTCATGGTAACATCATATATTTATATATCCATATGAATAGTTATTTCATCATGCCATCATTATTGATTTATAAAAGAATAGCACCAGGCTGAAAAAGGTTAAAAATCTGTTTCACCAGTGATCACACCCAGCACAAGGTGCAGAAGAGTGTTTTTTGTTTATTGCTTTGTTGCCTGTAGCCAGATCAAATTGTGATGTCACAGTGTCCTGAAGTATACTTTTACATCACTGCATCAAGCTGAGAAATTAAAACACTGGACGAAGAAGATTTTTAGGGGGTGTTAAATTACCTGTATTCTACTCTACTACAATTTGAACACTTGGGTCACCATAACTGCGTATCATATTGTGTTATGTTATGTTTTACGTAAGTCTAAGGTTGGTCAAGCAGAAGTTTGTAGTTTTATCATTAACCTTTTAAACACTTCCTTTACTACATCCAACAGGCTTAAAATACTGTGAAGTATGTGTTGGTACACTCATCTCTTATCGGAAACTAAATTAAAATTGATCGGAGTAGTGGTATTTCAGTTGTCAAGTGTTCTCTATAACCTCAACTGACCATTAGACCAATGAAAACAGGTTAAGCTGAATGGATCCTAGCTTTAGCCTATCTAAGCAACTAGAAGCAGGTCAGAAGGCGGGGTTACAGGATGTACAAGGAGGAGGGTGTTCAACACTGTTTGGCACGATGACACAGACGGGCTTTGGCTGAGCCTGGCCCAGATCACAGTCCATCGGCATTTGGGATTAGCCCTGGAATGGAATGGCGGGGGGTGACTGATCGGTTGATTGGCTGATGAACCTGTTGCCGGGCGGATTCCGGGCATTTGGGTAGCCCCTATCGGTGGCTCTTACCACGACGGATATCCGGACACGTTTGGATGGCCTCCTGAGCTCAGGAGACGTGGGGCTCTCCACGTTGTTGTTTTTCTTCCGGGCAACCAGAGACAAGCACACAACATTAACAACAACCTCAATGTCAGTTGACTTTGCAAAAAAAACCCAACTTCCTTTCAACGCCACTTTGACGTGACCAAACGTCTGGGGGAAAAAAATTAATTGGAGACTTATTTATGTGAAACAAACCATTAGCAGAGTGGTGCAGGAGTGAAGAGATTTTCCTTAAAGCCTTGCAGGATGCAAGCTTTAATATTTTATATTGAGGTAGACTGAGATACTGTGTGTGTGTGTGTGTGTGTGTGTGTGTGTGTGTGTGTGTGTGTGTGTGTGTGTGTGTGTGTTCTGTATATGTGTTTGTCTGTTTGTGTGGGAGGTACTGTACTGTAGAGCGTGAAGGACTGTATGTGAGAGATAGCATAGGACTGTGTGGGTGTACAGAACGTGTGAATGACAGGATGGGAGCCACTGTGTGTGTGTGTGTGTGTGTGTGTGTGTGTGTGTGTGTGGTGTGTGTGTGTTGTTGTTGGGTGTATTCGAGGACAGGGCTGTCTCACCTCCAGGCCCTCCGCGTCTGGACTGGCACAGAACAGGTTCTTTAAAGCAATGCCCGAATTATCATGTGGACCTGAAAGGGAGACAGAGAGAGATTCAGTGAAACAATCAGATATCATTGTTCTCCGTCTGTTAGATATTCTAATTATGTGCCTTCTGTTTGCAGACCTTATCCTACTTGCCCCATCTAAAAAAGCATTACACAACAACTGTGGCATCATCTGTAAAAGAACAAGATCTTTTTTTCAAGGAAATCTAAACAGGTTTTTACTGGCCCCCAGAAACCATAAAATGAATGGGTGGAAAATGTTCACTATCTCAAGAAGGATATCTCTCAGTTGGCTCACAGTGCAGAATTAGCTGTCAGCGCTAAAACGATAACTTTACTTTAAAATAAAAAAGCTAGATCTACCAATCAACATATAATAATGAGCTGGTCCTACCTTTGCATTTTTAATGGTGTATGCCTGATATTACCCGGTTTGTAAAATATAGAGGAAACGGAAAAACAACCTAGAACCAAAGCCTTACACAGTTCATGTTATGGGGGACCCTACATTACAGGCTGATCAGTTCATAACCCCAGGACAACTCCACATGGTGTGGGCTGACCGAATAATAGCCAAAGATGATGTAAACTTCAATCATATTGAGGACTGAACAGACAGCGACCAGAAACTGAAAAAAAAGACACAAACTAACCAGAGCCTGGCCATTGAGACCGCTGGACACAAACATAACAAACCAGAGAAAACAGACTCTGTCTCTTCTGACAACTAACAGAGGTAGACCGGTCTACACCGCCTGCTACACTGCAGCCTGAAGAAAGACACAGTTCTTCACTAAAAGAAAGCTCACATACCAAGAGTCTGACACACAAAATTCTGTATTTACCTGGAGAAAGAAATCTGACATTGCCATACAGCAAAACCTGTCAGAGCAGGAGGAAAACAGTGCAACAACACATGAAACTGTACTGCGCTTCCTCACAATCTGACTCCTCTTCTACTATGACACTGATCCCCTGATCTTTCCTCTAGCGTCACCCATGGGGTTGACATTCTTGCTTTATAGTGAAATGTCTCAACAATTAGATGGACTGCCATGAAATTTGGCTCAGACATTCACATTCATGTTGTAAACCTTGTATGACCTGCTTTTATGATACTGCACTTTAATTACACATCATGGTTCTTCTTATTATCGTTGAATTATTAGTTATTACTGAATCACACAAAATTACACAAATTTGAATTTGACAGATTGACAGTGTTCAGAATAAGTAGATAGGCAAAAATATTTTTTTGGTCTACAATAAAATATTTTTTTCATCATCCTAGAGAGAGGGAGAGAGAGAGGGCAAAAGACAGGGGAAGATTAAGAGGTGTTATTAGTGTTATGTGAGTTTAGAGACAGAGAGGTCATTACTGACACTCCTTCCGGATCTATTAAAACTCCTATTCTTTTCCTTTTTGATTTCCTCATCTGTCAAATGTTCGGAAACACTCTTGTATGTGTACGTGCGGGTCAGTGTGTGTTTCTTACTGGTGGGGATCTCGGTGGGTCGCTCCACCACAGAGGATCTCTTTAGTGCAGGTTTGAGGGGCTTCTGAGGAACTGGACGAACGGGGCTGAAGGTTGACTCCTCAGTAGAGATCTACACACACACACACACACACACACACACACACACACACACACACACACACACACACACACACACACACACACACACACACACACACACACACAGACAAAAAGATAAGACACAGCACTCAAAACTGCTGAACCCCAATCCTACTTAAGAGATCAACCCCTCTTTCTGCGGACTCATTATACAAATGCAAGTACGGTACTTCTTCGGGGTGATGAGATGGAGGAAAATCAAAGGGGGGGGGGGGGAACAGTGGAAAAGAAAAACCCCCAAATGAAAAGAAACCAGCAGGAGTTGGAAGCTGAAACACTGATTCTCATGTTGGCCTTGATGTAAAATTAAATGAATTCAATGACTTTCCATGCTGGCATTTCCATGACCTAAAAAATATTTTTGCAGAGTTATGTTAATGACTGTCTGAAGTGGGAGAACATTCTGGTTTTAAACATAAAATATTCCACAGATCAAATGTTTGTGTGAAACTAGTTCGAAATTCAGCTGTTGCCCATTTGTAAATCCAACAATATGATATACTGGGCTGATATAGTCTTTTAGTTTAATATTGGACTGGACATTAGCCAGCTGGAGTTTCTGTAATAATTCTCCCATGCCATTATACAAGTGTTTTCTTGAACAGTGCTGCGTGGGCCTGCAATGTTAACACACCAAAGCATCCTTGTTCTTGCTTCAAGGCAGGGGTTGACAGTAAAGGTCGGTATAAATACTGTTTCAGAGGATTCTCCACCATGATAAAAACAAAAAACGGCTAGCATCATAAAAATCAATCAGCTATCAGGAGGTCAAAAATAAAAAGATTTGTCAGCATTTAAAAACCCTTAGTCAAACCATGTGGAATACATATCAGAATTTAGCGATACGGTAACTCTTATGTGGCCGTAGGAAACCATTTAAAAGCACTGATGAAAGCAGCAGTGGAAGGGATGGAGAAAGTGGGAAAAAAGAGGGCAATAAGATATGAAGACAGAGAAATGAACGTGGGAAAAAAAGCATGTGTGTGTCACACACACACACACACACACACACACACACACACACACACACACACACACACACACACACACACACACACACTCCTTCCTTCCACCCCCACATCCATGCCTGAGGGCGTTCTACTCAGCCACTCACTGCAAGCTGATGAAAGTGAAATGAAGACAGGAAAAAGAGATAAATCGACATTTTGAGCACTACAGTGCAGGACCTGGAACCAATTTAGACATCTGCCTTAAACCACGGTTGCCTATTTCCCTTCCCTGTCTTTGTCTTACACACACACACACACACACACACACACACACCTACACACACGTCAAAATGTATATAATCTCCTTATTACTGCTATGGATGGCTTAAAAACTAAATATTATGCTCTCCACGTATCACCATTACAACAGATGTTAAAATACAGCACCGTAGGCCGACCATACTCAGCTACATACAGTTCATGCATTTATTGTTGACTGTAGTTGAATCCTGGACAGAAACGGTTCAAGAACCAGAGCTAATTTGGTGCAAAATAGGCAATCCTGATATGAACTTCTCTTTCCAGTAGTTCTTGTTTGGAGCCATCATTTTACTTTCACTATCTTATTGTCACATTTCAGTTTGTCTATGTTGCAATGTGCACGACCATGACTATGTCGCAGACTCATATTGAAATAAATACATTTTTTAAAATTCCATTTCAGTAATCTCACAGTTTAAGTACTATAATTTAAAATATATATTTTTTGACAGTTAATTTATTTTAAAGTTTTTCAGCGATTCCTCTGCAAACCACCAGTGGTACCAGTGCACTAAACTACCCAACTGTCACACACACACACACACACACACACAAACACACAACCACTGTATGAATATCACCATCCGTCATCCGTCATATCTCTTCAAGCGCAACAGATAAATGAAACAGACCCTGAAATGTTTGTCTTGCAAAAAATTATCTTCTATTTTACTTTTTTGATGTTTCTCAATGTAAAAAAAATTAGAAGTTCAGCTAAACTAATACTGGATGTGCTCTTCTAGTAGAGGATCCCACAAAGAGTCCAGCTGGGTTTTAGCCTCACAGCTAACATGGCTGTAGACTCTTAGTCTTGTTTTAGTATATCCACATCACACTACATCCATGTTTCCTTTGATGGACTAAGCATCTGGAGAATGCTTTTTATACTGTCTCACTTGCCAATCAATGGTGACATATGTTTATGTAGGAGGTGTATCTTTCCTTGTTTAATTATTTATTATAGTTATTGTGACTTTACTGCACAAGCTAACTCTGCAGCTCTATTTTTCTTTGCCATTTAAAAGAAAGAAAAGCAGAAATATCATTTCCAGATGATTTCAAACAAATTTCCAAACTTTTCTGGGCTAACAAACCTCCAGCTATCAGCCATTTTGCACTATAAGTAATGTTTACACAGATAATAATGCCCAAGGTGTTTCCAGACATCTCCTCTCTCTATTCGCAGTGACCTCTGACCTGGAAGCGGACCTCCTGGCTGACCCGCTGGCTGCCGTCCTCACTGCCTGGGTTTGACACGACCGACATCCGTTTTTTCTCGGCGAGGGCTCGTTCCCTGATGTACTCCAGCCGTCTGGGGCGACCGAGCTGCTGGGAGAGCAGCGACTGGAGCTGGGCGCGCTCGATGGAACCCAAGAGGATCATGGACTCTGAGAGAGGAGACACAGTTCAGAGCAAGGAGGTGAGGATGGAGCAAGAGAAGAATGGATGAGAAGAGACAGTAAAACTTGTTTTTGGAGGGAAGAGTGAGCAGACTGCAGGAGATTCCAAACACATGTTGCAGCACTGCAGAGAGCTCATCTGAGTTACATAACAAGAGCCCAGAATGCAGTGAATGTGTATTAACTAGTGTGTGTGTGTGTGGGTGGCAGCTTGCTTGCTTTAAGTAATTGCCATTGTGACAGTACGTGCTGATTATGTATTTGGTTAAATGCCGCAGCTAATTGTTCCTGCACGATTGCATAATTGAGACAGTGTTGGAATACCAAATTCGCACTTTAGTGAGGCGGCAAGTGCAGCGCCATCAGCAAGCTGTGCCCTGTCAAGTTTGTCAATCAATCAATCACTTTAATGAGTGAGCCACCAAGGTCGCTGGAATTTGTTTTTGGTACAGACTGGAAGGGAGGCTCAGTCTAACAGCATCAGCAACATCGAACACAAACATCAATATCACACCAGACACAGTGATCAGCACAACACACTGTATTCACACGCACTACTGTAAAAAACAGATTTTTCCATCTCTTGTTGTTTACACACTGTTTGGTGGGGACTTAGGACAGTAAAGTATTATTTAAGCTACAGCTTAGGGGGCATTAAAGTTGTCATTCAAGGAATAAGTTCTTTCAAGTAAGGTTCCATCCTTCAAATATCTGATTAATGTCGATGACTGGTCTAAAAGATTTAATAGGTTTAATAATACTGTATAGGCAGTTTTTGTGAAGAAGTGAAGCCTTTAATGTCTTCCTGAATAACTGAAAACTTTATCTCAGGGTTAAAGCTGCACCGTGAGTTATTTTATGCCCAGCAGAACAAGCTGTAAACACTGACTATGAACTATGAGGTTATAAAGTTCTTAAGCTAACATCCACCAGACACAGAGATGTCATCAGCATAAATATGGTGTCATGTTTCTGGCCACATAGGCCCTACTTTGGTCTCCACCAACTCCAGAGAGAAATATCTTGTAACAGCTACCTGCTGTTGCCGGAGACAATGTCGTTAATAAGGGAGTTGTGGGATGGAAAACAATGAACCAAAAGGTAGTGAGCCATGTGGAAATACCTAATCTGTCCAATAAAAAACTATTTTTCTCTTAACCTGACTAAATACTTTATGATGAAAAGTTAGTAAACATAGTTTATTTTTTACATTTAGAAACACGTAGACACAATTTGATGATGGCATACTGTATATAGATAAATATACATATTTTAATCTAGATATGTATATATATTTTTTATTTTCTGAATGTGCATGCTGCTTTTGTTTATGTCTGTATGAACTCATTGGCATTAGACACAGCAGCCAGTGTTTGAGTGTTGTGCACAATTGCATAGCTCAATACAGTGATGTCTGGTCCCTTGCATAGAAAGGTTAGTCCGATGATGAGTAAGCATTAGGCATTAGTCATGTTCAAAATGAATGTGTATTGTATATATTAGATGATATACTACTCAACAAGGGACAACAAGGGAGTGTAGTGAGGTTCTACGAGTATCACAATACACAATCTTTAATTTTGTCTCACCAGCTGATTCCACCAGTGCCAGAGTCTTGAGGTGGCCCGTTAGCAGGACGTTGTGCAGGTCTCTATAGCAGCAGTTGAGGGTGATGTACCGTACGTCCCGCACCATGATATCCTCCACACGAATATTATACTTCCTGAGAAGAGAGAAGGGATATGAATGAGAGGAGGAGGAGGAGGAGGAGGAGGAGGAGGAGGAGGAGGAGGAGGAAGAGAAAGATGAGAGGAATTTATCAAGTGGTTAGCGAGATGAGGGATAGGGGGAAGTTGAGGAAAAAAAAGATGAGAATGAAGATGGATACATTAAAGAATCCAGTAACACTCCCTTGAATAATATGTAAATATACGCTGCTGCCTTTTTATGTTGACTATAATGCTCTGGTGATACTTTCTCTGATGAATTATATAAGTCACTGAACTGTAATTTCAGCTTGTTCAGTGCAGTTTTCATTCAAATGTTGCTCTGCACGGCTCTATAACCACTCTCCTTCAGAGTCAATGCTGACAGCACACCCTTCCTTCAGCTGACCGGTCAATCCAATAACACGTTGCACTGTCGACACGTCATGCGGATGTTACCGGCAGTGACGGCATGGCCATGTGTACAGTAGGGGGAAGTGGGTGACATTGTGTGAGCAGATCTTGCCTCAGCAGAATTGTACGCCCCGGTACACCAGTCATAAACACTCAGCTTTCTCTTCCTGCCCAAGCCTGCCAAAAACCTGCAAACACGACAGCAGCCGCTCGATGGTTTCCGCTGCCAAGCCCCTTAGCAGTGCCAGGACACAGGGTCCAGCCAAGCCTCCGCTCCTTGTTGTGGTGACAACTCAATACACTGACCTCTCTTGAAATACAAAGTTAATTTGATGACCATGCTCCCCCATCTCCACTTCAATACAATGGAGCAGAAAGTTGGTCTTAGATCTCCATTAAGAAATAGGCCTGTATCCAGCGCCGGGAAATGGCACCAACAGAATTCTGCGCTACAACAAAGCCTTATAGAAAGCTTCTCTATAAGTACTTATGTGACACTGATGCTGAAAATCTAACTCTTTACATGACCCTCCACCACCCTAAAGGCGTATGCTTGGAACAACTTGTTCATAAGACATATAAGATCAGGTCTGAAGGCAAAAGTGTTTGTTCCAGATGGCCACACTCAAAGTAGGGCCGAGCGACAATCATACAAATAGGGATAATGGCGCACATTTTTCTCTGGAAAAGCACTCATGATGTTGTTCCCTGTTTTTACATACAAAAAGTGGAAAACCTTGAATAAGAAGCTCCAAGCTTGTGCACACTGTGCATTCTCACCATTTATGGTGCCTAAGCCAGCTTGTCAGATTTTCAGTTTAATTTACAAAAATTGTCAGACGCAGCTCCCTAATTTGAATGTCACAAAGTTGTGGGGGAACGGCTTTTGTATGCTGTTCAACGATACGACAAGCAAATAAATACACAAAGGGCACTCTAGTTCCTGCACTGGGCCTGGATGTAAGATGAGGGGTACAGAATTGTCTACTTTTGGAACTGAGTATCAGCACTCTTTGTCCGCATGAGTACAGTGCTGGGCTTATTTGTCTAGGTTTTGAGATATTTGCCTCCGCCTCGATTCAGTGCAGGTGATTGGAGTGTTGCTTGTGGTGCTTGCGGCATCATGGTCAACAGCTTTCATTTTTCACTGGAACTACTTTTGACAGAAGAAATAGTCCATATGAAAAGTCTTCAGTGAGGTCTGTGGATTTTCCAGAGTAACAGGGACAAAGTTTCTGGACAGAGATCACCACAAATAAAATCCCATTTACCTCAATTGCAATGGAGTCAGAAACCTCAGAGGATATGGCAAAATCTTGGAAACAAAACCAAAACAATTACTACATGGCTAGTTACCACTACAGTGAAGAGAATTGTTTTTGTTATTTAAGTAAACCGACACAAGAATATGGTAACTTGCAAAAACCCCACTTTGAATTAGGTCTCCATCTTTGGTCCCAAGCGTTCATTGCTGCTGTACTGAACATCTCCAAGATCACCTGTCAGTCAACCAGTGTAGGCCAAAGTCTTTTTTATTGGATTTTCCGCTGATCAAGATTGAACTTTTGTAACTGCTGCTCGTTGCCTTTTTAGTCACGGTGACTGTCATTGCTCAAACTAACTCCCCAGTTCTTTTTCCGTTTTATCTAAACAAGCCCAAAAGAAAAACATATTACTTTCCAGCCATCAGAAGACATTTCCCTCCATGACAGATCGAACAGACATCTACTGTTATCAAATAGATTTTATGAACTGGATAAAGATTAAATTACCACATTTTTATATCAGTCTGTGATAGAAAGCACAGAAATATATACGTAAAAAGAGCCTTTGAAAAAAAACATCACCCTCGAAGAAAGCTCCATTATTCTGATGCATTTGGCAGCCTCTTTTCATTTGCTAGTGGATCTGAGAGAATAACGTAATGCATGCCTCTGAACTGGCCACAACCGCTGCCAAGACTAATTTCCCTTGGGATATCAAAGGCAGTTGATGAAATCTGATTGGTTTCCTCTTAATTGAACCTTTCTCCCTACAAGGCTCGGCAATACATCTGATCAGTTTGAGCTATCTTGCTTTAAGCCTGCGCTTATAGATTTGAGCCAAGATAAACAGACTTATAGAGTTATAAATCCAGGCTTAAAGATCATCCATATTGTCCAGAGTGGAGTGGAGAGGCTCGGGGCATTGATATGTATGTGTGTGCGTGTGAGTGTGTGTGAGGGTGTATGTAGGGGAAGGTGTAGAAGCCAATAAAAGGATTTTTGTAATGATCCGGAGAAAATATGATCATCTCCTGCAGCTTCGCTCCCTATTAGACGAAAGTGTACTGATGACTATTCAACAAACTATAATTGGCCATTAGGAAATGCTAAGAAACACAAGAGTGACAGACAGAGACACAAATGACACACACACACCGAACAATGTTATGTAATTGTTCCCACACTATTTTTTTTTAAATGCCACTCCAACGCTGAAGATGGATCCGTCAAGAGAGAAGAATAAAAGAGGGAGAGAAGAGGTGGAAAAGGTTTCATATGTGCTACTGGGTCTGATTAGAGAGAAGGAGTGGGTAACAGCATGCCTGTAGTGGAAATATATATGTGATCTGTGTGTGTGTGTGTGTGTGTGTGTGTGTGTGTGTGTGTGTGTGTGTGTGTGTGTGTGTTCATATCTACAAAAGCTATGCACAAATACAAGATAAGAAATCCAATTCTCTCCATGTCCGTGTGGGTGTGTGAGCAAATGTACATGCCATCATGTGTGTGTATCGCACGGCAGGTGTTACACAAGTGTTCCTCTGTGTGTGTGTGTGTGTGTGTGTGTGTGTGTGTGTGTGTGTGTGTGTGTGTGAGAGTGTGAGTGAGAGTGTGTGAAGGTGGGTGGACGGGTGCGTGGGTGTGAGATGGATAATTTCCAGTTTGAGTGAAAAACACATTCAGCTTGGAGGGGGCCACACTACCTACAATGGCTCATTTCCCCCCCTCAGCCACCTCCTCCTCTGCTCTCGTATGCTGCAGTAATATAAAACACACACACACACACACACACACACACACACACACAGGCTTAGTGAGAGGCAGAAAAAAAAAAGTGAATGAAGAAAGGGAAGTAGGAGCTTTCTGCACAGTGACTTAAGTTCATAGTGTGTGTGTATGTTATTAAATATAGATGATTCAAGGAGATTACATTTGTGTGGGTATTTTTGTGTGTTTTTGTATGTTTATATACTACCACACACACACACACACACAAACACACAAACACAGAGCGGAGATTCCTGACAGTTTCTCAATCATTTTTACGCCTCGGCAACTTTTAACATTTGGAAACGTATGTCATTATGTTTGGATAATTTGATATTTTTTGATGACAGATGATCGTGTCATAATTTATTTTCACTTTGTGCACACACACACACACACACACACACACACACACACACACACACACACACACACACACACACACACACACACACACACACACACACAAACAAATACACACAAGAGGCTTTCTGACAGTTTCTCAATCATCTTAATGCCCGGGCAACTTCTAACATTTGGAAACTTCGTGTTTATCATTAAGTACAAATGATTTGATTGATTGGTGATGATGTTGTAATGACTGTGCGTGCACACACACCAACACATCTCATGTTTTACGGATAACATTTCTAATTCAATTCACTTGAATTTGTTAAAGCTTCAATCATTAATATTTTATGAAGTTTAACAGACCTGCAGACATAGAGTTTCTGGAAAGGTTTATTACAACTTTGATCTTATGTTTGTAGTATGGGACATCATTTTCATCAGTTATGATCTGAGTGAACTCTGCTGTGATCTGGAAACATGGCGTCAATGCTAAAACAAACCCTGCGTTTAAACCAACTAACAGTTTAGCCAGATGATCTAAACCAATGGTTCCCAACCTTTTTTCTTAAGGGACCCCTTTTTCTATCACTGAGTAAACTGATGACCCCTGACTACTGTATGGATATTTTGTATGATATTCAACAGTAGAGAACAACTGATAAACTGTACAATGAACCCACAAAGTGAACACAATAACTGTAGGATGTTTGTGTAAAAAAGGTGATTTGGACTTTTTTTTTTTTTTTAAATCACACAGACTACACAGAATAGGCTTCTTTTTTAACAAATTCAGTGTTTTCTTCTCTGCGAGGCTTGGCCTCTATTAACTCTGGTTGTTGAGTACTTTTCCAATGCAGGACAGAGCTGAGTAATATATAGGTTGTATTCTGGTCTTTAAACTTTATATCCTAAATTTAAAAAAATATATATTTTTTGTTGTCTATTCACAGAAATGAGGCAAAAATTCTGAGATATAGGCATAATTTTCCTACACCCCTTAAAATCAAGATGGCCTTGGGACCCCCTGAATGAGTCTGTTAATCTCTAAATCAATTCCAGACCTGACCTGAACTTTTGATACAGCCAAGAACTGCGACCATACTCGCAATCAAATATGCTCAAATCTGGCTATTGGGCAGTATAGGCTACTGTAGGGGTGAACAAGGGCCAGGGGAAATAAACTACACATAAATAAACACATTGATATGTGCAGATTGATGAGGAAAGGCATGTGTTCTGTTCTGGTCACTGTCACAATCTGTTTCTGCCTGCCCAGACCAACTTGTTGGCAGAGGCGCACACCCAGATCTCTCCAAAATTGTGTACCAACTCCTCATCTTCATTAACTCTGTAAATATGAGGACATGAAACCAAGATTTAATGGTGAGCTTTGCATGCTTTTCTGCTGGTGAGATTTGGAGGTTATATACTATACTATAACTGAATGAATTTTGAAAAAAAAACTAAATTTTGAGGGGCTCTCAACCACTGATGACATTGAGTAGTTGTACTAAATTATATGTATTGTATGGGGAAAAAAGTATTGAAATGAAAAAAAATGTAATATGGACATATGCAATTGCATTGTTTAGCAACACCATGTTTTTGTTCACACCAATAAAGCCCATTGAATTGAATTGATATATGGCTTAATCTGCGTTACACAAGCGCTGGCTGTGTGGTCAGTGCGTGACAGATACCTCGCTGAACTGCTGCGGCTTGCACGCCTGTGGTTTCCACACGGAGAGAACACTGCTGCAAGCCCTATCTTTCTACGTTGAGTTTGATAAATACAATACTCACACAGGCACTCTGGCTGCTCTAACCTGGTAACATGGGCGCTGGAATAAAAAGCGAGACATTCTGTGACGCACCTGCACTGTAACTCGTAACTTTCTAGACACACTCCCAGGTGCGTCACATAACTTCTCGCTTTTTATTTCTATGTCATATTTTAACAATTAACCTAAATTAACCTCCTAAGTATTAAATAATAGACTCCTATGACCTATCAGAGTCAACTATAAAGCCAACAGGGCCTTGGCCTAGTTTGAAAACCACTGGCTTAACTTGTGAAAATGAGATCCAAGTTGTAATAAAAATGGATTATCCTTTAAAGCAAGTACTTATTAATATCATACTATTAATGATTCTGTAAGGCCTTAGGAGCGTGTGGTCGGTCCACAGCGTGTTCAGTGGGTACCACATTATATAATCAGCAAAGAGAAAATAACCAAATATGCAACAGCTCAATGAAGACACAGCTCGCATCACACACAGCTTTCTCTCTTCTCTCCACTCTGTCAGACACACACACAGACAGGGCAGGAGAGTGAGGAAGGGATGGAGAGGCCATAAGGTCGCAGGAGATAATAAGGAGAGACAAAGGAGAGGAGAGCAGAAGAGATGGGAGTGAGAGAGGAATAGATAACGAAGAGATGGATAGTCTGGGTCAACCAAGGTGCTGATGTAGAAAGTGAAAGACTCAAGTAGCTGACAGAGACGAAACTCTTCAGGGGACGGCCGCAGAAAATGATGAACAGATGGAGGATGAAATAAAAAATTTCCTCATTACTCCCAATTTGTGGATGATGCATCCAAACTATTATCTCCACCTAATGATTTGCCAACATCCATAACAATAATCGGCTCCGAACAATTAAATGAAAAGTGCTTCTGCGTGGTTTCACCAAGCTCGGAGGACAGCAAGCAGCTGGTAATCCCATTCAGTATTGTGTGGTTGGTATACATTATTAATGGGGGTGAAAGCAATTAAAAGCTATGTAACACTGAGCCATTGAGCCAGGCACCTCTAGCCTTGTCTGTCTTTTTGTGAAGCAAATTCCTCTCTGTGATTTCACGTGTGCCCTGAAGGTAAGACGGTGTGCTATCTGCAGTTTAAACAGCCAAATTAAAAGCAATATTTAAAACCATAAAGACTCATTGTGCACTCAGCTTTACCTATTAACACATTAGATTACGACCGGCACACAGTATCTCAGCCATTATTTGACTGATTAAACTTCCACAGTGAAAGAAATAAACCCCTACAGAGCAAAACTAATGGGGCTTCAGTTAGAAATTGTACCTAACACATTAACATGCTTAAATTAGCACAAGCAGAAATACACACAATACAATACAGGTGCCCCACAGGCTAACATTAGCATGCTAATAGGTTAAATGTTAAAAAGCCAAATGTTAGCTGTTGCCTGTGGGCTAAGTGAAGTTCAGTTGGCATAGCTCTGTCCAAAGGTAACACAATCTGGCTAGTACCAAGCTAATGCTCAATCAACATTTGTATCTTGCTCGTTTAATGAAAATAGATAATATATATAATGTAATGCAGTGTTATGTGCTAGTGTTCCTGCAACATGTTGCACTGTACGTACTCGTGGTGTCCCCAGCCCAGCTCTGGGAGGTAGGGCAGCTTCTTGATCCTGATGATGGAGTCGTAGAGGGAGGGCTGCAGGGACTGGGCCACGGCATTGGCCAGGATCACTGCTATCATCACCGGCAGGATGTGGGAGATCTGGCCAGTCAGTTCGAACACGATGACTGCGGTGGAAACCGTGTGGGTGACCGCTCCAGACAAGGCCGCCGCACCTTTGGGTGGGGGAGAGGACAGTCGGGTGAGTGAAAGAACAGAGAATTACTGTAAAGAAGCAATTGTTCAGATCAGTGGTTTTCAAGGTAGGGTCTGGTGCTAAATAAAGGGGGTCCTTGAGGGGGTTTCAGGGGCATCATCCATCAAAATGAAAAATTGTTTAATATTACCATGATTTGAAAGGGCAATAAATTACAGTTTTACAACCCCATAGCATACAATAGAGAGGATGTTGAACAATAGCAACGACTCAAGAGCTTCACTACTACTGCTCAAATATCTCACTTCCCACCAGACCTGCTAATTTCTGAAAACAGAAATAGTCTCAGCAACAGAACGTCGCCAAGAGTGAATATAGTCAAAAATAGTCACAACAGATTCTGCTGTCAAGTTAAATAAATTGCATGGTGATGCATTATCTCCCCACAGTCATGGGAAGCAACTCAGTACATTTACTCATGTTCTGTACTAAAGTATAATTTTGAATTACTTGTATTTTACTTGCAATATTTGATGCAACTGCGATTACTTTACAGATAATTACTTTACAAACGAAATCTTTGATGAGCTTATGAAATACAACCCAATGGTTTCTGTCCAAAGTAGTTCAAATTAGCTCCACCTCCACCACCTCCACCAGTAAACACTACTAATAATATTTTTATGGCGACAATGTAACATCTGTCCAAGGACTAGAGTTGTAAAAACAGGCTTTTGGCTGACTGGTGCATTTATAGCAATGCTTATTAATGTGCCTTTTAAATAAGATATCAAATTAATAAATAAAAATAAATTCTGCTCAGGAATCTTCTGGAATGGAATATTTCACACTGTGGTATTGCCACTTTTATTTAAGTAATGAATAGGAATGTAAAGGTATATATCGCAAGATTGAGATACAAATACATGAAGATGCAAATCAGTGAAATGAAAAATGAACTGTGATATCAATCGTGGTATCAAGGAGCAAATACTTCAATTTCAATTTTTATAAAAGAAAGGAAATATGCATTGTTTTGCACAGTTTAAACCCTACTTCAGAAATAAAAAAGGATTCTATAATTTGATAAAGAAAATATAAGAGAAAACATGTGGATTTTTGTCTGAGAAATAATCAATTCAATTTTGTTTTAAAAAATCATGAGATAATCGTATTGTGAACTGTATCGAACCATGAGCCAACTTGTCCACAAAATATATGAAAACATGGGGTTACAGTTTCATTACTGTCATTGCCACATGCACAGTATAGGTGGTCATATGGCTCAGTTATACTGCTACCGACACAAAAGGGTACACTATCAATATTTCATTCACATTCCTGCTTCAGATCATATAGGCTACACAACATACTGTATATAGCCTACAGCATTATTGATCTAATCCACAAAACCACATTTCAACTTTGGAAATCGATTCACTCAAAGATTCTAAGTCATCATCCTGTTATCAATTTCCTCTCTCCTCTCAGCCCAGCAAACCAGATTCACATTCCTCTCCACACAATCTTCTCTCATACGCCCATAAGGCAGAAATTGACTTATTCAGCTAATTTAATACAAAAGGGAACCTCGATATTTCCAAATCTTTTCTTCCAATAAAGTGTTGTGAAAAGAGCAATATAAAAGCTGCATCAAAGCAGACAGAGCAGCATGGGGCGAAGTGAGCCTTCGCTGCTCAACAGAGAAAATGGATGAGTCCAATCCAGAGAATGAGATGAACACTGGGAGAAAAAAAAACAGTAGAGAATGAAAGCATTAAAATAAAGTGAAAAGAGAGAGGGGAGCAGAGAGAAACAGATGGTGAATGAGGGAGTCTACAAAGGCAGGTTTCTTTGTTCTTCCTCGTAACTTAATTAAGCCTGTGTATGTCTGCCTATCCTCCTCAGATAAATGCTGCTGCTCCCTCTGCCCGGCCTAACATTTAGTCCTTAAAGCGAGCTTTGCTGTGAGATGAAAGAGGCTCATCAGAGTTTCAGGCCTGTAAAAGGCTGAGTCATCAGCTACAGTGCAGCACAACAACAACATCAGCTGCCCAGAAAAACAGCCGTCACCAACCCGCAACAGTAGCATAATCAGCACGGCTGTCAACAAGTGGCACGGTGGAGGGAATCACAACGCTGCATCTCATTAGACACGGAACTTCAGAAGGGTCGACAATGACGTGGTGATGAAAGGGCAGCTGGCGTTTGCAAGTGATGAAGTACATTCAGGATTATTATTATTATTATTATTATTATTATTATTATTAGGTCAAAAACGTATTTTTTGTTCAAAAAAATTAAATAAGGATTGTTTGTATGCTCCATCTGTTACATATAACCAGAATCTTATCTGATCTACTTTAAATGTTGTATGCGTGAATATTTATGTGGAGGAGCCCAAATCAATGTGCATGTTACTGTGTGTTAATGTGCATTGCTCACTTTAAGGTCCAGTGTGTAACATTTAGGAGGATCTATTGGCAGACATATTGACCATAACATTGTGAGCACTGACAGGTGAATAACACTGATTATCTGGTTATCATGGCTCCTGTCAGTAGGTGGGATACATTAGGCAGCAAGTGAACATCTTGTACTCAAAATTGATGTGTTAGAAGCAGGAAAAATGGGCAGTGTGAGGATCTGTGTGACTTTGACAAGGGCAAAACTGTGATGGCTAGACGACTGGGTCAGAGCATCTCCAAACCTGCAGCTCTTGTGGGGTGTTCCCAGTCTGCAGTGGTCAGTACCTATCAAAAGTGGTTGAAGGAAGGAAAAGCAGAGAACCCGAGACAGGGTCATGGGTAGCTAAGGCCCACTGATGTACATGGGGAGCGAAGGCTGGCCCTGTGTGTCGTCCAACAGACGAGCTACTGTAGCTCAAACTGCTGAAACAGTTAATGCTGGTTCTGATAGAAAGGTGTCAGAACACACAGTGCATCACAGTTTGTTGGTGTGGGGCTGCGTAGCCGCGGACCAGTCAGGGTTCCTAAGCTGGTCATAATGTCATGGCTGATCGGTGTATGTCGAGATAGTTTAGAAGCAGTGTCTTCATTACATACTATGTGCACCAATTGGATACGATCCTTGAAACTTTACTTGTCAGTATTTCTCATTTGAAGGTGGGGTAACCTATTCTAGATCATGTGATTCTAATCCAATATACTTATTTTTGTCAATTTCAGTGAATATCTTCCCTCGGGCTGCTAGCGTACCGCTTTGTGTGCGCGCTAAAAAATAAAATCTAGTGGTTGTACACAGTTCTCTGTAAACAAAGACTGGACCAAGCCAAACAACATTTTACCTAACTTCTTATTCTAGCCATTCCAGCAAGGTTTGTCAGCTAACATTACATAACTTTCAGCTTACTTTCTAGTTCGTCCAAGACGTGCTGTTGTCTAAGGCTAGTGCATGATAGCTGCGCAGCAACAACCTTAGCAACAGGTTGTAAACCCAGAACATAGCTACATGTTACATTACTTGCAGTCTGACTATATTTGTGATGGTATTGATTTCTCCAAATTCGCTTACGCAAACCTTTAACCATCAATGCGTCTCTTTCTGTAGAGTAACAGCTTGTGTACACAGTTGAGCAAATTCCACAACTTTGGCACAATTTATGTTTCTTAAAAGCAGTTTTGAAATACACAAGTTGCATTTTCAACATCCAAACTTTTAAGTATCTCCTCTGATGTGGGCTGTGCAAGTTTGTTGTTTTGTCAGCTGGTGTCTGAGCCATTTTTTAAAAAGTCTAATCCGGTGATTTTGGAAATGTAATTTGATTCTGTCTCGAGTATTTGAATCTGATTATATCCCATGTCTTCTTTTATCTGGGTCCATTTAGAGTCTTAACTTGGAGCTATAAATTGAGGCTGTAGGAAATATTTGTCTTGATTCCTTTTCTGTGAGTGGTGGCAAGAAAAGTAATAGTAAACTATTTCACTCAAATAGAAGCACTGTTGCCTCACAGTAACCTAATGAGAAGTAACACAAAATGTGTGCAGTTATCATCTTGAAAAGACTGAATCACTTAAAAGTGACAGAGTTAGATAAGAATGAGAAATATTTTTGTGCAAGTCCCAAAACTGTCAAACCCCTAATATCAATGATTTAAATCTGAAAATGTTGTTAAAGGTTGGTTTGCTGTGCAAAAGAAAAAAAAAGGAAAAGCACTGTAGAAAGTTCTTAGACTGGACTGATAGGTGAAGAATCAGGGCACCATGATGGTGTCTTTAACTTACCCACGACAGCATAGCCTCCTGGCACTATTGGGTAGATGGTGCCATCTGTGTTAATGCCATCTGGGAACCAGGCTGCCATGCTTTCTCCGACCAGACGACCAAAGGCTGCTCCTGAAATATACACACACAAAAACAGACTACCATCAATACTGGGTTTAATACTGGAGGCAGTAATTAAGTTTTTGGCAAACCAAGTTCAAGTAAAGGAACGATTTGACATTTTGGGAAATATGCTTTCTTGCAGAGAATAAAATGGTGCCATGCTATTGTTCCATTATTCCAAAACCCCAATAGTCCGAAAAATCTCCCATTGCACCAAAAGCCCATTTATCCGACAACCCGTTATTCCAAAAACAAACCATTGTTCCGAAGGCCTGATATAACTAACATACTCATTTTAACCCAATCCGTGATCTTTTCCTAAACCTAACCAAGTATGTTTAGTGACTAAACTTAACCAAACTCATTTGGGGAAAAACCTTTTTCAAGAATTAGAAGAGAAGATTGATACCACTCTCATGTCTGTCGGTTAAATATGAAACACGCAGCAGTTGGTTAGCTTAGCTTAACAGAAGATAGCAAGCCAGGCTCTGTCAAAATGTAAAAAGTCACTGTTGTTCTTATACAGTAAACCAACAGAATATAATATGTTAATCAGTAAGCCTTAGAGGTGATGGTAGGCAGATATTGTTACATTCAAAAAGAACCATGCTGGCTGTTTCTTCGGGTTTAAAGTCTTTGTACTCAGCTGAGCTAACCGGCTGCTGGCTGTAGCTTCAGCTATGAGAGTGCTATCTATTTTCTCGTACAACTCTCAGCAAGAACTTCTGTCTTGCACATCTACATTTACTGGTCTGACACACACAAACAAGCTCAGTTGCTTCTTACCAATAACAAATACTGGCATGAAGGCTCCGCAGGGCACTGGGATGGTGGTGGCCAGGGCAGACATCCAGAACTAAAATTGAAAAAAGAGGGAGATAAAGAAAGAGAAAACATAAAAAGAAGGAACACGGTGGCATTTCAATTAGCTTCAGAGTACCATCCTGTGTGCCCCTAGATGATAGCCAAGTTGAATCCTTCACCAGCAGTGAGGAGGCAGCCATGCGGAGCTCATTGCTGAGGTTAGATTGAGCTGTCACTTTCACTCCTCATTTGACAAAGACCCTGAAATGAACCCTAGGTAATGAGCGGGCGCCGCCGATTGGCCGACACTGTGCCAGGCGAGCGGAAGAGACTGTTAATTAGGAAAGAAAAACAAAAAGGGAAATGTCACCACTGACAATGTGTGAGGATTAACGTCAGGTGTGTGTGCATTTGTGCGTGTGTGTACCTAGATTTAAGCAGAGTTCAAAGATATGAGTCTTAAAAAGCTTTTGGGAAGAAAAAAGTTGCACTGATACTTCAAACAGTATTCAAACTATAATGATCAAAAATAAGGCTCATGCGTAAAAGTGTGGACTCATTAGTTGTCTCATTAAAATCTAATTTAAGCTCTGCACAGCCTGTGTAATATTGATCACTTCTATGGTAAATATTAGACCAATCACTATATCCTTGACATTGAGGGTGGACAACACTAAGTACATTTTTAGTACGTGATCAGGGTGTTACAGTGTGTTCAACTGAACATAAAGTCAATGTAAAGACACTAATGGGCTTGAATGGATGCAAATTCATTGTTGTTAGTGCAAATTAAGCTGAATGCCATAGGCTGCATGATTAAAAATGGATGTAATCTCCGTGACACCACCCACAGGTGTCTGTAGAGCCGTTGTAAAGCTCCGTGTGGTCGGTTCTGGCCATTGCCATCTTGGCAGTCCTGACTCCCACAGCACCCACCTGTTACTCAAAGTGGCCATGCTTTAAGACTTAATATAATTTGAACAAGTGAGTTATATAGAATTTAAAACACCCCCTATGTAGTTGTCATGAACAGGGAATTTAGCTATAGACACAGTTTTGATACCAGGCTGTAAATATGTTTATTTCTGCTGTGAAGGAACTGCAGTTTTGTTGTTACTTTGTGTTTACTTCATCTGCCAGCCACAGAGGGTTGCATCCACGCAAGTTGAAAATGTTTTACCATCCCAAGATTTTAAGACACCAAAAGGGGTGAATAAATACACACTGCAAAAACAATCCAGTGGTCAAATTTGCAACTAATGTTAGGTAAAAAAGTTCAATTTGAAGGCACTCTAAAGAGTCACTTAATACTGAAAAACAGGGTTTCACTATACACTGATGAGTGTGGTTGGGAAAAAACGACACATAGTGGTTTTATTTGGTGGATGTTGTTTTGCTGCTTTTATGTTTTTATGTAAAGTGTCTAAAGAGTATTTAGAAAAGCGCTTATAAATAAAATGTTATTATTATTATTATTATTATTATTAAAGAGTTATGTGTTTCTTGGCTTGGAGCAGGTCGAACTGTCTTGTCGTCCCCTGTGACACAACCAGCAGAAAGTCCAGGCCAGCGGTCTTCCCTTGCTTCCAGTCTTTATGCTGAGCTAACCAGCTAACTTGAAAGTGGTATCGACTTCTCACCTCTCTGCAACAAAGTCAACATGCATAATCCCAAAATGTTTTTGTAAAACTATTCTACATACAGAATACCTACACAAACCTGATACAGTCATGCACAAACACACAGACACCATTATATACTAGTTTTATTTTAATTCAAAAGTAATTTTTTTTTATTTCCACCCTGTCCTCCAAACTTAAACTATTAAGGCCAATACTATTCAATACTATTTAGAGACACACACACACACACACACACACACACACACACACACACACACACACACACACACACACACACACACACACACACACACACACACACACACACACACTTTCGGGTGGTCCCAGCAAAGGGACACAAAGTTGAGAATGTGTGACATTCAGTGTTTGCATGCATTAAATAAGAAGTATGAATGTGAGTATTGTACAAGCCATTACACAAACTTCATTGCTGTAATAATCTCATGGTTTCAAATAGACTTTTTAATTACACTCATTGCTCCGTCTCTCTCCATCCCTCCCGTTCTCTCCCTCTTCTTCTCCGCTCCCTCCGCTCTGTCTATAGTTAGCTGTAATTAAGGCCGGCTGCCATGGCAAAGTAATGGATCTCCTTCTGTAACCCTACACTGCCGCCGCTTTCACACCCTGCACTGCACACATACGCGCGTAGGTGTTCACACACACCCACGCACACGCCGTGACACAGACTTGGTGACGAGAATCAGAGCTGAACGTGGCCAGAAGCCAGAGAGTAACAGACGCACAACAAGTTGAATACAAAAGGAAAGGCCTGATGGGAAAATGAGACAGTCATGGGAATCATTTTTTAGGCTTCTCTTGGATTGCCTTCCTCTTCCATCTCTTCCTCTCCGGCCAGTAAAACCTTAATAAGAGCTAGAAAGGTTTAAAGGATCTGGGAACTCATAACATAGGCTTAACTTTATTACAGAGGCCATGAACTCTGAGGAGTGTGTCTGTGTGTGTGTGTGTGTGTGTGTGTGTGTGTGTGTGTGTGTGTGTGTGTGTGTGCGCGTGAGAAACAGATTGTCACACATTTATAAAAAATGCACTGAGTGGAGAACAAAGCAATTTAATCCAGTTGTAAATTTACAGTTAGCGATGAAACCCAGAGTAAGTGAAACTAGCCGTCATCCTTTACAGTACAGTAGATCAGAACTGTGTGTAATAACGTTCAGCTCATAAAAATGTGCCCATAGATCATTTTATAGTGTTTATTACCTGTGTGACAACTGCTCATAAAAATATAGCAAACTTCTTCAAATGGGTTTCTAATATATAACAAAAACTGCCAACATAATATATTATTTGAGTGAAGCTGCACTCCCAAAAGTAATAATTGCTCTTACTATATATATATATATATATATATATATATATATGTATACTAATGCATTCCATCATAAGGAAATACCGTTAAAATATCGGTTTATTTGTCTCGTTTAGAATGACTCAGCAGTCAGTCTATCATTTGAGACTGTTAAAATTAATCAAATACAAAAGACATGGAGGCAGCAAACAGAAAATTACTCACAAATACAAACTGTAAGTAATCTGATTTTGTTTTGTTTTTAAATTACAGTGAATATAAAAAGTCTACACATCCCTGTTAAAATGCCAGGTTTTTGTTGATTTGGATGTATGCTTTGGGTCGTTTTCGTGCTGAAAGGTGAAATTCCTCTTCATCTTTCAGCTTTCTAACGGAGCCTGAAGGTTTTGTGCCAAAATTGACTGATATTTGGAACTGTTCATAATTCCTTCCACCTTGATTAAGGCCCAGATGAAGAAAAACAGCCCCAAAGCATGTTGCTGCCACCACCATGCTTCACTGTGGGTATGGTGTTCTTTGGATGATGTGTAGTGTTGTTTTTGCGCCAAACATACCTTTTGGAATTATGGCCAAAAAGTTTCATCAGACCATAACACATTTTCCCACATGCTTTTGGGAGACTTCATGTATTTTTTTGCTAAATTTAGCCGGGCTTGGATGTCCGTCTTGCCACCCTACCCCATAGCCCAAACGTATGACGAATACGGGAGATTGTTGTCACATGTAGTACACAGCCAGTACTCGCCAGAAATTCCTGCAGCTCCTTTAATGTTGCTGTAGGCCTCTTGGAAGCCTCCCTGACCAGTTTTCTTCTCGTCTTTTTATCAATTTTGGAGGGGCATCCAGTTCTTGGTAAGGTCACTGTTGTGCCATATTTTCTCCACTTGATGATGACTGTTCTTCACTGTGTTCCATGGTATATCTAATGCCTTGGAAATTCTTTTGTACCCTTCTCCTGACTGATACCTTTTAACAATGAGATCCCTCTGATACTTTGGAAGCTCTCTGTGGACCATGGCTTTTGCTCTGAGTTGCAACTGAGAAAATGTCAGGAAAGTCCGACTAGAACAGCTGAACTTTATTTGGGATTAATCAGAGTCACTTTAAATGATGGCAGGTGTGTACTGACTACTATTTAACATGAGTTTGAATGTGATTGATCAATTCTGAACACAGCCACATCCCCAGTTATAAGGGGGGGGAAACACATGCAACCAGCTTATTGTAAGTTTTTTATTTTTAATTTTTCCACCTAAAAGATTTCAGTTTGTTTTTCAATTGAATTGTTCATGTTAGAGGTCACATTAAAGGCGGAAAAAGCTCTGACATGATTTATCTTTGTCTAATTTTTTTACATCACAAAAACCTGGCATTTTAACAGGGGTGTGTAGACTTTTTATATCCACTGTATGTGTTATATTCTTTACCCCAATCATATTACAGAGTGACTGTACGTCCACACTGAGTCGGCTAAACCTGAAAATTCACTTGCAACCACACTAAGCCTCTACAGTACAGTCGATCATAATATGTAATGGTGTGTGTGTGTGTGTGTGTTTTTTTTTTTTTGGTGTGTGTGTGTGTGTGTGTGTGTGTGTGTGTAGGATAAAGAAGACAAGATGTCTCTATTTTATTGTTAATGCATTTTAGTATGGATGGACACTAATTGAAAACGTTTTCAGAAATAAAATGCATTTTTAGATTGAGCCAGTTCAATGAGTGAATGAGGGAAAGGACACTTACAGACACATCTCCAGCAGTGCCACTGTATGTAGATGACAGTGTAATCTGAACCAGCTGCTTGTTTACCCTTAATGACAAGGTCACACGCACGCGCACACACACACACACACACACACACACACACACACACACACAAAAACACACACACAGGTGAGTGTGACAGGATGCTGGCTGCAGTTTCGTCTCCGTTCTCATAGGACAGGAGCCTTTACCATGGCAACCACGCTGCTATGATCACCGTGTGCAAAGTTACAGTTGCCCCTGGGTCCTCCTCCAGGTGGCTCGGGGTTGCCATGGAGATGGACTAATAGCCACTAAAGACATGATGGCCTCTGGCTG